ATGATGTTTAACAGAGGATTTTACATTTTTTTTTATTATTGATTAATAATAAAAACAGTCAGCAGCAACAGAAATACTGCACGCTGTCACTTTAAGAATAGTGCGGCTCTGATATGGTTTCTCTTTCACATGTATTTTGATTCTCAACTTGTTTGTTTCTTACAGAAATGAGGGTTAATATGAATAATCACTAAACACCGCGCTCTGACACAAATGTGCATGTATTTAACCATTAAAGCGCTCACATTAAGATGGCGTTAGATGTGTGTGTGTTCTGCTGTCCGAGGCTAAAAGCGCAAACACACACACACACACATACACACACACACACACGCTACCTGTCCGAGGCTAAGCGCGGTGCGCACACACACAACAGCACGTGCTCTTTCGCGCTTTTAAAAAATTGAATGATGCACATCCTGTGCTGCAAAAGTTACATTACAGCACATGCTTTTAGTCATTTTCACGTGGAACTGAGCTTTGCAGAGCAACAAATGTACAACTGGAAAGGGGGCGGTATATTATGGAATTATCGTTTATCTCGATTAATGGTTTTTCATAATCGTTAAAAGCCAAAATTGAAATCGGATTTTCGATTAATTGCACAGCCCTCATATATATATATATATGATTTAATTCCAAGGTGGAAGAAAGTAGTTCCTCATACAAAAGGGTTTTTGAGACTCTCCATGTTAGATTTTTTTTTTATATACACAATTATGCCGTCAAACTGTTGTATAAATGCAAAACGTATATCAGCACTGGTGGGGGCACTAAGCCACTCGGCCTGCGATATATATATATATATATATATATATATATATATATATATATATGAATTACATTTTTATATTTATTTAATATATTATATTTATTTAATATTTTATTTATTTTATTTATTTTTTCCATTCCAGCCAAACTAAAAGAAAAAAAAGAGATGTTCTGTGGAAGAAATAAAAAATTGTATAGACTAAATTGTATAGATATAAAATGTCCTTGCTCTGTAAAACATTACATTAATAATTAAAACAATTAATAATCTAAATTTCACAGAACTGCTAATTCATTTGCCTTCAGCGGCTTATGTAATATTTACACTGATATTAAGTTCCATTGCTAATAATTTAAATGCTGCATGATCAGTTTTGAAGTGTAAATGAAGTGGGCTTTCCTGTTGTATTCAACATTTTTATAGAGAATACTGCATTATATCTTCATGTTAGAGCACTAAACCTGCTCTCGGTGGTCTGGTGTTGTGGGATTGAGCAGAAATTAATCTAAAATCATCCTTTCTCTTGTGTTCTGACAGGTCTCCCTCTTCGAGGCGTAAGAAAGAGCAGGTGAGCTTCCGTTTAAGATAATGCGTTTATCAAACTCACAATACACCTTTAAAAACTGAACAGAAATTGTTTTTAAAAGTTGAACCCTAATATCACATTCATGTCTGCATGCTATTTTTACATTACAAGGTCGTTTAAGGTCATCATTTTAGTTTATTTTTTCATAAAAAGAGCATATTGTATCAGATCTATAGTGTAATAAAATATAAAATAAGGAATTATCTTTATCAGCTCCACTGGTGTTGCGTATGGATGCTATGCACACAGGGGTAGTTCCAAATGCAACTTTATTATGAGAATGGTCAGACAGGCAGGCGTCAAAAGCCAGCATTAACAGTGTAGTAGAGAATCCAGAAGCGTGATCCAAAAACAGGTGAAAGGTTCAGGGCAGGCAGCAGCGGGTTAAAACACAATAAACAGTCCAAGGTGAAAAACGCTTGCATACGGACAGCAACAGCTTCACAATATATGTGAAACAGAGGGTTTTAAATAGTCCAAATAATCCATCTGTGAGCTGCTTCAGCTATGAGAGAGTGATCAGTCAGGATCTGGAACCGGTTGTGTGTGTGTGTTGCATGACTGGGTGTTGTAGTCCATAACATGGCAGATTTCTAGTTCATGTGAGTGTGAATGTTTTTCAGCGATCTCTGGTGGTTAGATCGCTGGTAATCGTGACAACTGGTATGAATAATATTTAAACAATATCCTTTGACTTTACAGGTCACAGTTACTCAAAATCAATGCAACAACAACAAAAAAAATGCCGGGTTATACTCTAAAAACTGAACTGACTGATTCACTATAATCTTCTGTGTGAAGCTGCTTTGACCAATATATTGTAGAAACGCTATAGAAATAAAGATTAATTGAATTAAAATGTTATATTTCCATCTAATTTTGGGTTTATTAGGGACAAACCCAACTCCTGGGTTAATTTTTTTAAATTCAATTATTAGGACCAAATTTAACGCGATGTTTGGGTTAGTTCATATTTTACCCAGTTTGGGTTTAAATAACGCAGCATGTTTTAAAATGATATTAGAAACATTTATTTAAAAAAACAACAACAACATCATAATAACATAAATATAACTGTGAAAAGATTTCAAAGATTTTAATTTTCAAGATTTGAAAATTAAAAAGTATCACACAACTGTCGTTTTGTCAGTAGGCTTACATTTTATTTTAGCAATATAAATTTAGACCTGTTTTTAGATATGCAAAAAAGGCTAAATATGTTTTTTTTATTATCAAAACTGACACTGATAAAGCTTTAATATTTACAGCAATTCTATTTAAAAATATGCCTTTTCTTGCCTTTCTAATAACTAGCCCTTTTTTTTATTGTGCATTTCTTCGGGTATAAAACAGACCTGAAAGCATGCATTATTTGAGCTTTTACATGTTATTATATATATATTCATTGGATATATTTATTTGATGTTTTATTTATAGCTTGTAAATCTGTGCACAATGATTGATTGGTTGATTAATGTAATATATTTTTCATTCAAGTTATTTATTTAACCTTAATTTAAATTTCTCCATGGAAACTTTTAATCTTGGAATTTCTTTTTAAATTAATTCATTTATTTCATAAATGTAATTTTCTGAAATCCAAATTGGGTCAGATTTTATTTTCAGGGTCCGTTTGTTGAATTTAAGGGCCCTATCATACACCCGGCGCGGCGTGGCGCAGTAGTCTTTTGGTAGTTTCAGCTTGGCGCAAGAGTGGTTTTGAGGCGTTGCGCTACGCTGATTAAATAGCAAATGCATTAGCGCTCATATGTGCGCCCATAGGCGTTCTGGTCTAAAAAGGAAGGCGTTCTGAGGTGGACCGCTGGCGCGTTGCTATTTTGAAAATCTATAATAGATTTTTCATTAGACCAAAACTAACCTGGTCTAAACTCCAGCGCAGAGTTGCGCCTCGCTTACACAATGCTTAATACACACAAGAGAGCAATAGGCAAATATCTTTACATATGAAAAAATGTAAATATTAAGGATATATATAGGATATAATAAGAATATATACAGGATATAAATATAAAGGATTAAAATATTACACAACATATTATTTTCTAGCCTACATAAATATGAAAAATCACTGCTTTTATGTCTTCTTCATCTCGGGAGGCTTTTTCAGTTCATTCATAACAATTTGCTTTTGTATAATGTTATTATTATTAGCAGTATTATTTATTACATCCATATTTATATTTGTTTTATTAAAAACAAGCTTAGATTTGCCCACCTGTCAGGTTTTAGACCATATGGGGCGCAGCATGTGTTTTAGGATATAACTCAGGTTGTTGAGCACATTTTGTTAATATTATTCATTTATTCGTTTGCTGAAAATTAGAACTGAATTTAGAAATAGTTTTGAAATGAATATTTGCGCTTAACAAACAAAATTATTTATTTATAGACTAATTGATGTTTGTGTGTAAAGGTTTCCCTATCCAAGAGCGAAAGTGAAAGTAGATCCATTATCTCTTATTCTCACGCAGTAGATGCTCTGTTTAACAGTTTTCTGTTAAAAAACTATTAACTGTTAACTGTTTGCTTGTGAAATGCTCATTTTTTCCACTTAGACTTACTTTGCGTCCTGTAAATAGCGAATGCGCTCTTGGCGCGATGCAGCTGGCTCTTAAAGGGAATGGGAGATGAGACTCTGATTGGTTTATTCTCAAAACACACCTATAACTCATTAAGAAAATTAACTCAACCCTTTTAGACCATGCGCCGCGGCGCAAGGCAGATTTCCCGTCCTTAAATTAGCAAAAACGCATCCTGACACGCCCTAAAAGCGTTTGCGCCCTGCGTTTTGCGCTCTGCGCATGGACCGTCAAAATAGAGCCCTAAGTTAAACTGCATCTACATGCCAAATAATTCTCAATAGATTATAAGTAAGTTATAATGTTAGTTGACATGTACTTGCTAAGTTTCTTATGGTCAGATAAATGCCTGTTGAAGGAGCAGTATAACCAGATATTAAGCAGACAGTCTACTGATACTCAAATGGACCATATAAAGAAAGTGTTACCTCCATTTTTTTCAGTTCACTGTTACATTTAATTTATTTTTTATTTTATTGCTGGTTTTCTTGTCTCCTCTGCAGAGCACCGGAGAGCTGGAGATGGCCGATGATTTTGAAGATCTTACTCAGTCCTCGGACACGGCCACAGAAGAGCTGGAGACTCCAGTGTCAGGATACCGCAACGCTTCTCTGCTCTTCAAACAGCTCGACTCCAGCTATCTGGGTGGGGTACTTCACTCCAGTCAGCATTACATAAACAATTAAGGGCTGTGATGACAGCACAGAATATTTGACTAGATATTTTTCAAGACTACTATTCAGCTTAAAGTGCCATTTAAAGGCTTAACTAGGTTAACTAGGTTAAAGTTAGGGTAATTAGGCAAGTCATTGAATAACAGGGGTTTGTTTTGATGGCAATCAAAAACAAATATTTCTTAAGGGGGCTAATAATATTGACCTTAAAATGATTTTTGAAAAAAAATTAAAACTGCTTTTATTCTAGCCGAAATAAAGCAAATAAGACTTTCTCCAGAAGAAATAATATTATAGGAAATACTGTGAAAAATTCCTGAATCTGTTCAATAACATTTGGAAAATAATTGAAAAAAATATATATTTTTAATAATATATATTAATAATAATATATAATAATTCTGACTTTAACTGTATATGCATTTGTCAGAATGTCCTTGTCACAAACTATTCTAGATGAGAGTGTGTTAATTAATCATGCAATGTAATTTACTGTTTTCATCACTGATAATCAGATGTTCAGCAAATGTAGATGTCAACGTCTCTTTTGTCTAATGTTTGTCCTGCAGACTCTGTGAGCGTGGTGAAACTCCAGAACATGTTTCATGAGTACGAGCGCACCATCCAGAGGGAGAGAGACAGACACAGTCGACTAGCGGATAAAACCTCTCAGCTGGAGCAGGAGCGCAACGAGCTCAAGATGCTGCTGGACGAGATCAGAGGCGGCAAATCCAGCTTGGAACATCTCAAGCTGGAGCTGGAAACAGACATGAACAATCTCAAGTGAGCTCAACTTAATGAGGTTTATAGTCTCGTCGTGATTAGTAAATACGTTTTATCACCCAAATTTATAGAATGCTTTCAATTACATTAACATCTGCATGAACAGGAAGTTGCTGAGACTTTTATTTCAGTATGTTGATGTACTTCTGCTTGAAATTGAATAATGAGTAGGGGGCGGGGCTTTCTTTTGCGCATCATTCCCTCATAGCAAATTAACGGTTAAAGGCGTGTGGTTAAGGATATTGATAAACAGCTGCTATCGAAAAGTCCTTAAGTTGACTGAAGATTTCCTAACAAAGGTTTTTTAAGCAATTGATTAACTGGCATTTGCATTAATTATTCACATTAAGAATAACAATATGAGCTAGCAAAATAAACAATGCACAGTTTGATTTCACGTAGACTTTAACATTTAAAGGTGCCAAGTGGCAACTTACAAAAAGTATTTCAACTGCAATTTATTTGTAACAATTTTTTAATAACTAGGTACATAAAAAAGCCCTCGTATACAAATCGAATAAGTATACGGCAATGTATGCAAATTAGGTATTTAACATACAACTTTGTGTGTGGATTTTACAAATATTAAAATGCATGGACATATATGTAGCATATTTAAAAATTCATTTTCAACTATTAGAATTACAAATAGGCATATGTGTTCTAATATACAGACTAGATATGTTCAAATGTATGTGGCCATATATTAAATTTGCATATAGGCCCCAAAAGAAACAATTAATTGTCACAAAAACAAATTATTAATAGTTAATAAATGAATACTGTCAAACCCGAAATTATTTATAACCCTGGCAAATTCTGACTTTCAACCAGCAAGTTTTTATTTGACTCGAAATGATACAGAAAGTAATAAGACGATGCACAAGAGGTGTCATTATGGGAAAAAATGCCCAGCTTTTATTTACATTTGAACAAAACTATGGGCTCTTTTTTTAACGATCTAGGCACAAAGTCTAAAGCCCATAGTGTAAGAGCGTTAAGGATGTGCCCGAATCCACTTTTGCTATTTTAAGGATGGAAAAGTACGCTCTGCGCCCCGGCGCATGGTCTAACAGGGTTTTGCTTATTCTCTTAAACAGTTCTGGGTCAGTTTTGAGCATAACATGCATTAAACTAATCAGATTCTCATCTCCCCTACCCTTTAACGCCCCATTCACACGGGGCATCAGCGTCAACGCTTCTCATTCACTTTGAATGGGTGACGTAGGGCGTTGCCGAATTGCATTGTGGATCCGTCGGCCGACGGAAGCGTCAGCCAATCAGATCGCTGTATGCAAATACACCAACTCGACAGTAGCCTATTGCTGACTGAATTTCATTGGGTGACGCTGCTATGATGATCGCGTTAGCCCCAACTTCAGACACGCCTTTAGTCAAGCGTTGATGCTGAAGCCCTGTGTAAATGGGGCGTAAGAGTCAGTTGTGTCACGCCATGGCGCAATTGCTATTTACATGGCAGACTTCGTAAGTGGAAAAACTGAACGCCTTACTAGTGAGAAAACAGTTACATGGAGCATCTGCAGTGTGAGGATAAAGAACAAGCCTCCTTCATTTTGCCTCTTTACTTTCTCTTTACTTTACTTTTACTTTATTTCTTTACTTTCCCGGAGTAAGGAAATGGTGTTGTACTCACTCCACTGAAGACATCCATTAGCCTACATATTTATTTTCATTTGTTAAGTGCAAATATTTGTTTCAAAACTATTTCTAAATCCAGTTCTAATTTCCAACAAATGAATAATGAAACAATGGCAAGGCAAGGCAAGTTTATTTATATAGCACATTTCATACACAGTGGCAATTCAAAGTGCTTTACATAAACAGGAATAAAAAAGACAAGTTTAGGAACATAAAATGTAGACAATAAAAATTATTAAAAACAGATAAAAACAAATTAAAATGAGTTAAAATAGGTTATAAAAGAATGAAAAAGAAAACGAAAAACATAATAGTGCAATCTGTCGGACGCAGCACAGTGCTCATTCAGTAAAGGCACAGCTAAACAATAATAATGAAGTGTGGTCAAAAAACCCAGTTGTATCCAAACACAAGTCCTGTTCTCATGCCCCATATGGTGATGCAGATGTCTCTAAAACCTGACAGGTGGACAAATGTAAGCCTGTTTTTTTATTTAAACAAATATAAATATGCAGATAATAAATAATACTGCTAATAATAATAGCATTATACAAATGCAACTTGTCACTAATAAACTGAAAAAGCCCCCCGACATGAAGAAGGCATTAAAACTGTGGTTTTTATATTCATGTAGAAAATAATAGTTTTTGTCAAATTTAGTCCTTTAACTTTTTTATAAATAAAGATATTTGTGTGTTGCTGTATGTTTAGATGTGCAAAGGCACATTACGAAGCACTCTGCTGGACTTTAGAACAGCTTTTAGTTGGTCAATGGCGCAGTTTATTTCAGTTTTTTAAAACAGCAATGCGCCTTAACACGTCCTTTATAGACCTGAACGCCCATGATGGAACGCAAATGGATTTGCTAGTAGAGCAACGTGGTGCAAAACATGAAAATTAGGGTTGCGCTGGTCTGAAAAAGCAACATATTTCATGCCTTGCACCTTATTTGGCCAGGTTTATAATAGAGCCTTGTATGTCTGAATTTGCCAGGGGTATGAATCATTTTAGGCTTGATTGTAGATAATAAACAATATATTGTTAAGCTAAATTTCATAATGATGAACGGCAGTAATAGTCATTGGAGGAAAAGTTCATTGACTCTTTCTTTTCGCTTTCTTCTCATGACAGGTTCCTTCTGAGACAGGAACAGGAAAAGCATCAGAGCGCTCTAATGTTGTATAATAAAACACGTGAGCAGCTCCAGAGAAAAGAGGAGCAGCAGAGGGCCGAGGCTGAAGAACGGCACAAAGCTGAGCTGAAAGTGCGCAGCCTGGAGCTGGAGATCAGAGCTCTGAAGAACAGCATCAAACAGGTCAACAGCAGAACATTCTCCCAGTTAAATTTGCACGTGACGGTTTTCTCAGTGTGTTAAATGCCTCTACAGGGTGTATGCAGGCTCTTAAAAAGTCTAAAATGGACTGAAATATTGTGTTGTAGGTCTCAAATACTTTTAAACAGGTCTTGATTTTCCTTTGTCCATGTAAAGCTACTAACTATCCATCTCAAAATAATGTTTAACAAAAGTTGCATTTGTTACTCTGTTTACTAATATGGGTTAGTTTTATTCCTTGCATCCTTACAATACAATTTGTTAAAATTGTCTCCATGTATTTATGCATAAATGTATGTTGTGCATAAATTTAGTTTGTTATAGTTTTTAAAACTTAAAGAAAAGTTATGCTGAAGAAAAGTGTATATACAGTTGAAGTCAGAATTATTATCGCCCCTGAATTACTAACACCCCTGTTTATTTTTCCCCCCCAATTTCTGTTTAACGAAGGGAAGATTGTTTCAACACTTTTCTAAACATAATAGTTTTAAAAACTTATTTCTGATAACTAATTTATTTTATCTTTTCCATGATGACAGTAACTAATATTTGACTAGATATTTTTCAAGACACCTTTATACAGCTTAAAGTGACATTTAAAGGCTTGATTAGGTTAATTAGGTTAACTATGCAGGTTATGGTAATTAGGTAAGTTACTGTATAATGATGGTTTGTTCTGTAGACTATCCAAAAAAAATTATCTAAAAGGGGCTAATAATTTTGTCCCAAAAATGGTGTTTAAAAAATTCAAAACTGCTTTTATTCCAGCCCAATTAAAACAAATAAGACTTTCTCCAGAAGAAAAAATATTATCTGACATACTGTAAAAATTTCCTTGCTCTGTTAAACATCATTTGGGAAATATTTTAAAAAGTAAAAAAAATTCAAAAGGGGGCTAATAATTCTGACTTCAACTGTATATATAACTAGAGTTTGCTTGTTTTGACACATTATTTAAAATATTTGGCTATGAAATAACTTAAGTTTTAATTTTAATGGAGCAAGTAAAAATATTTTCCGACCATTAGGGAAAAAAAATCTGTAGCGTTTTGCTCTGTAGAAGTCTGAAATTTAATTCAAAATGGTCTTTAAAATGTCTTTAAAAGTCTTAAATTTGACTTGGTGAAACTGCAGAATCCCTCCTGTATCACACTTACAGACGTCCTGGAAAATTACTGGTGAAATAGAGGTAAATTGTGAACAGGGCTTTCCTAGCAATACCAGAATATTTGTTTGCCATAATGAGAGGAAAAACATTGGAGAAGTAACCTATCGGAATGGAAAAACGTCTGTGTAACCGTATGTGTATTCATCTGTTTTTTTCTTTTTGTTTTTTGCTGCCGATATTACAAATACGCTTGAGCAAGGCTGCTTTTGCCATGCACATCTTGTCTGGGAAGCATGATTGTGCCTTCGCAACAAAAGCAGCTGCATAAATGCGAAAGTTCGAACCAAAAATCACTCCATCAACAAAAAGTCTGACTGCATTTACCCTTCCATGTTCACAAATACAAGCGCAGCCATTTAGAGATCATTTCTTGGTAATGATGTCACAGAATTTACCCGTATTTTCAAACAGATGTGTCTGTTTTTTCTTATGCAAAAAAAAAAACATAAAACAATGACATTATCTGTGTGAAAAGCGTGTTTTTTTGTTTATTAATTATAAAAGTCGTTCTGGTAATTTTACAGCAATTTACCAGTATTGTAGAAGAGCATACAAAGGGGTAAAAGTTCCAAATGCAGCTGATTAATTAAATAGGGATGATCGTACAGGCATTGGTCAAAAGGAGCGGACGGCAACAACAGGGGCAATTCAAAAAGCGTAAACCAATAAAACAGGCATTGAAAGCAATCATCATCCAAAAACAGGAAGACGCAAATCAAACCAGGCTGAAGCCGAACAATTAGCAAACAAGAGACAACATCCCACAATCAAGCGCTGCGTCCGAAATCGCATATTTTCATACTATATAGTACGCTAAAAACCATATGCGAGCCGGGTAGTATGTCTGAATTCATAGTATTAGAAAAACAGTATGCGAGAAGTACCTGGATAACCAACTACTACCGGCGAGATTTTGAAGTGCTCATCTGATGGCTACTCTATTCCTTAAAGGGCCATGACACCCCCCCACTTTCGGTTAAAGTCTACTTCAGAATTTTTTCAAAAGATGCATGATTAATGGGCGTGGAGCATATTGCAGTAGTGGGCGTGGCCAGAAGGGGAGCGAAAAACTGGTTGTAGTCAGTTAGCTCACAAATTGAGACGAACCATGAGGAGACGCATGAGTTTATAGTTTACAAAGTTAAAATGCAAATTAATAAACAGTAATTTAATGCCCTGCTACATTTGTTATTCGTAATTTCATATACAGAAAACCACAATTTATATCATTATAAAGATAATCGTGTTCATATATACACTATAAATGAGGACTTCTCCCTCAATCCCCGGGTCTGAACCATAGATCTAAATGCAGACTCGGTGCAGCAGGTCTCCTGACCTGTCTATTTTAACCATTAGTCCTGCTGGTAATCTGGAGGATTTAGGCAAACACAGCAGCACGGCGATGTGTCTGAATGTGAATGAACTCCTGATACAAGACAACGTCCGCCATTCTCCAATTCTCGTGCTGCTCTCCTGACAAAAATGCTTGCATCACACACACAGCTTGGCTGTATCAGCCCTGACAAGATCGCGGGGAAACACATGCAACAAACCCCGTGGATCATGGAAGCAAACACATACGAGCCTTCATAAACGGCTACTGCGTGCCGTGGGTCCGTGTCTCACAGCTTGAGCTTGGCACTGGTCTGGCAGATCTGCGTCTGTCTTGCCTTCGGAAAGCATGTGCTGTCGTGCTCTCATGAATAATTAAGCAGCCGGCTCTTCTCATAGGATAAGGAAACTCCGCTTTGAATAATAATGAGAAACCGACGCGTCATCATTGCACTTGCAGTACTGCAGTACGTCGCCGATTTTGATCCCGCCCCAAAAATCATTTTAAACCCGGAAGCTGAAATTAGCTGACAAAAGCTCAAAATTATTCAGTTTTCCCCACAATTAAAGCTGACAGGTGCTAACATTGCCTTAACTGATGCTCAACACACACACACATCTGTTAATATATAAAAAAAAAGTTCTCCAGGGTGTCCTGAACTTTTAATGAAACATGGGAGAATTTGTGAATGGGAGTGAAGCGACTCAAATGACATGGGTAGGTCATGTGATAATGACAAAATGGCGGATGTAGTACGTCCGAGTTCCCTTCATACTACTCGCATTCATACCATATAGAACACTTTTCTAATGGCCATGTCGTAAATTCTAATACAAATGTAGCACCTACTATAGGTGATTTCGGATTCAGCCAATATCCCAAAATCGAATTCCCAGAGTGTGGTGCTTAAATAGTGTGAGTAATGTGTCATTGTAATCCGTGTCCATCGGTAAACCACTTCAGCTGTGAGATGCAAAGCATGTTGGGAAGTGTTGTCCGGGTGAATAGCTAGCGGAGTGTACATATAGCTGGAGTGCCCTCTAGTCTGGTGGATACTCCAGCTAATGCTTGTGACATTACCGGTATTACTGTGTGAAAGGGGTTATAGAGTGTGTGTTTGTGTGTTTAGCTTGAGGAGGACAGAGATGAGTCTCAGCGTCTCCTGTCCCATGAGCGCAGCACTCGTGCCCTGCAGGAGGAGCTACTCAACAACCATTTGCGCAAACAGCAGGACATTGAAGAGGAGAACCTGCGAAACCTCAACAAGAGCAATGAGGTACTGCTGTCATGTGTATTCTCTGTTCTCCTTACGTATTTCAGATACAGTACAATCAAATGCATGAACTTGATGATTTAGGCTTACATCATATAAGCAGTGAGCTAAAACACAGTCTGCAGATCTGCTCCCTGAAGCCCTGCTCTAATCCTGTTTGCTGACACGTGATTGGTCAGATATCCAAGCTCTGTCCTGATGACCTGCATTAACTTACTGTGTCATTCAGCCAATCACTCGGGTGCAATCAAACGGCATACTGCGTCATTTCAAACCGGGTTTTCACACGTCCTGGCATATCATGGAATTTGAAAAGGTTTATTGCAGAGATTGTAAGTCGAGGAGTTTTATATTTTTGTTGTCCATGTCATGTAATATCAGGATTTTTTGTTTGTCATTTTACGTTATGCTTTCCATTTTCAAAATGTTAATTTTTGTATACCATGTTTTTTTATTCATTTACATATTGCCTATTATTAGGATATTTTCTTAGTGACATTTTTGTTCCTTCTCCACTTGTTAACCAGCAATTCCTGTACCTGTTAAAATACTCTCTGTGGTTGTTTTGTGTGTATTCAGAGCTCAAAACAACTGCTTATTATAGATTGTGGAAATTAACCCTTATGTGATTTTAAGGCTGCGACGAACCAGTGGTTGGCCATCAGTTCGGCTAGTGTGCGGATCTTGTTGGGGTAACGTTACAACTGGTTTACCTGATTTAGCATGTAGAATTGGGTTAGGGTTCCACTGAAGAGAGCGCTCTGGTTGGTTATTAAGCAACGAATCAGAGTGCGAGAACAAAAACTTTAAAAGATTTACCCAATCCAAGTCAAAAAGGAACACAAAGATGTCAGCTGTAATTTCACTACATTTCTCAATTATTTGTAAATTATTACTTTATAGGACATATTTGCAAGAGCTAATCCCTCCAAGGTGAGTAACAAGTACTGTTACAATGGTGCTAAATGTTTTCCTGTGTTCAATGAGAGTGCCGACTACTGCCCCCTGCGGGTGCAGATATACACATCTTTTCAAGCAGGCACACAACATGCACTCTCGTTTCAGTGGGCTGTTGTCCGTTTGGTGTTTATGCACAGCTTTTTGGTCCAGACAATTGATTTTCATCACCACTAGTACTTTGGCGTCAGCTTAAGGCTAAATTATACTTCTGCATTGAGTGATCGTCATAACCCTGCCTTGCACGTAGCCGTGTATTTATACTTCTGCACTCTGTTTATATTGCTCTGCAATCACACATCTGAAACGCTAGCCGACAATGGGGTTTCGATGTTCCTCTGTGTCTAGTTTCTACCTGTACGAGTTTCTACCTGTAATGCTACCCTCCTGTACAAGTAGCTTAATCTCGCTCATTCAGGGACGGGACCCAGCAAATATGCAACAACTTTAATCATAAAGTAAACACATAATAAAAGTATCCATCTGGAGTAGAGGTGTGAACCTATACTGTCTCACGGTTCGGTTCGGTTATGATTATCATGGCTTCGATTCGGTTGAATTCGATATCTCGCTACATCACGGTGCATTGATGATGCATTCCATATACAGTGTTGTATTTTAGGGGGGAGGCTATAACAAGCTGTCTGTATAAACACAGCACCACACTGTCTCTCATTCAAACACATACACAAACATAGACAGCACCAAACAAACAAACAAACAAACAAACACACATACACACACTTAAGGCCTCGCAACAGGGAGAGCTCACACTGAGCGGAGCAGAAAGCACTTTTCTGACGGTCCCTTACTGAGAGCTCCTCTCAGCGCGATCTCTCCCGGCTAAACACATATTGCGAGGGCTTAAACGGCGCAGTGGTCGTAATGTCGAGCGAAAAAAAAAAAAAGAAAGACAGCTGTGAAACATAACCAGCTTTGTCTTTTTGTAGGAAACGCGCTTTAGATCTTTTTAGTGTGAGAGGTTTTTGAGTTATTGCCGTTTATAACTGAATGTGTGTCAGGAAAATCGAAAACAAAACCAACTGAACTGTGCTCATTTCTGGCGCCCCCTGGATGTACAGCACCCTTAGCATATGCCTATGGTGCCTATGCCACGGGCCGGCCCTGAGTTGTCTGAGTGTTGTAAATACTCCCGCTCACCTCCCTCGCGACAGAGCGCATAGGAGATAAATGACGTCAGTACATAATAACCGCTTATGATTATTACTGAACCGATACAGAATTGTTCGCGTCTGCATCGCGGTGCACCGAAGAAACAATTAATTTTGACACCCCTAATCCGGAGCTCCTCTATGGGACTCGACACTTGGTAAACACTTGCGTTAACAGGTTTGCTCCTCTCCAGCAGCTATCGGCCCCACCCACACTTGTCAATGCTATCAAGCCGACCAATCACAAAGCTTGCGCTATGTATCGTTGCAACGTGCAGTTACAGTTTTGAGAGGTGCACGTCAGGGTCTTGGCGAAGGGTATGTGACTGTGTGAAGGCTGCACCGGACCATCCGCGTACACGCGACACAAACTTTATATCAGCCTTTAGTGTGTCCCAGCCCTTAGAATTCTGTAAATTGCATTGTTCAACTCCTATGCGTCCAAATTTACCCACCTTCACTAAATCTCTAAAATAAAGCTGATGTTGGAGTGTGCCTTTCAACAGAAGGGCTGATCTTTTTAAGTCAATGAAGGTCAGTGAAAAGTCTGGGAATTTGACATTTGTCTTAGAATGTGAACTTTGGAAAGGAGTCATTCCTAATTTTAATCTATGCTGATTTTTATCACTGATGTTGTACGCAGGCCATGTCCCAGCTAACCGAGGCATCAGACCGCGAGCGAGAGCTAATGCTGCAGAACCGCACGCTTCAGGATGAGCTGAGCGGTGCTCGGGCCGAGCTGGAGCGCTTGCAGTGTCAGAGTCGGCAGGATGAGTCTCGGCTGGCGGAGGACAGAGACACCCTGCGGGAGAGACTGGAGGATGCCCGCAGAGACATGAAGCTAAGCGAGGAGGCCCTGGCCCAGACTGTCTTCCAGTATAACGGGCAGCTGAGCGCACTGAAGGCCGAATGCTCCGTCCTCAGTGCTAAATTGGAGCACGAGAGGCAGACGAGGCAGCAGCTGGAGGCTGAGGCTGAAGCTGGCAGAGCACGACTGCAGGCCGCCATACAGGAGGCAGAGAGATGTCAGGTCAGACTCCTGTTTACTGTGGGTTCAGTTTTGGGAACCATTAAAGTCCTGTGAAAGATAGGTGGATTGGTGCAGCGGCAGCAGAAATGCGGTCAATGTACCGGTCCATCGTGGTAAAGAAGGTGCTGAGCCGAAATCAAAGCTCTCGATTTACCAGTTAATATACTTTCCTCACTTATGGTCTTGAGCTTTGGGTCATAACCGAATGGGCAAGATCTTGGATACAAGCGGCCGAGTTGAGTTTCCTTCATAGGGTGGCAGGGCGCACCCCTATAGATAGGATAAGGAGTTCTATCCCCCTGGAGGAACTCGGAAAAGAGCCGTTGCTTTTCCACATCGAGATACGCCAACTGAGGTGGCTCGGGCATCTGTTTTTGATGCATCCTAGACGCCTACCTAGGGAGGTGTCCCAGACATGTCCCACCGGGAGGAGGCCTTGGGGAAGACCCAGGACACGCTGGAGGGACTATGTCTCTCAGCTGGCCTAGGAACACCTCAGGATCCCCCCCGGAGGAGCTGGAAGAAGTGTCTGGGGGAGTGAAGTCTGGGGTTCTCTCCTGAGACTGCTGCCCCCATATCCTGGCCCCGGAAAAGCGGAAAAAAATGAATTAACTTTAAATACTTTTTGTTGATTTTATACACTAAAAATGGGTCAAAGCTTATTTACATCCAAGAGCGGATTAATGCATAATAATACAAAATCTTACGAGAAACTGTTAACCACTTGCCTGTCATTATTTTATCTTCTCAGGCCTCACGGACAGAAGCCGAGCGCTCCCTCCAGCGAGACCGCGAGGAGCACCAGCGCATGCAGGAAAAGCACATCTTCGAGTCTGGCACGCAACGCGACACCATCCAATCTCTGTCCCAGAAGCTCAGCAAGTCTGAGGCGCGAGCAAACAGCTTCGAAAACGAGTGTCACCGTAATGCACTAACCCTCGCAGAGAAAGCCGTCCTACTAGAGACTCTAGCCCGAGAAAAAGACCAGGCGCTTTCCAAACTAAAAGAGCTGGAGGCTACAGTGTTAAACGAACGAGATCAGACGAGTCGCGCCGGCGCTAAACATGAAGCCATGCAGGAGAGATTAGCTCAGGCTCAAAGTGAAGCCGCACTGCTACGACAGCAGTTGGAGGAGGCGCTCAACAAGGGCTCGGCTAAAGACAAGGCCGTCACCGACGTGCATCAAAACTTCGCCGAAATGCTCAACCAGTTGCGAGCGGATGGAGAGGAGAGAGTTCATCTGGTGGAGGAGAGAAGCCGAGAACTGGCAAAGAGCAACAGCGAGATCCGAGAGCAGAACTATAAACTAGAGCAGGAGAAGGCGGACCGAGAGGTACAGACATGCAGATTATTGATTTATTTTTTTTTACTTTTTAAATATTCATATATTCACTGTGTCCACTGTAAGCGAATAAAATCATCTTGGGTCAATAATAGACAGCATTTTCAGAAAACAAGAAATGAGCTATTAAAATAGAAATGTCAATAAAATGTCAAATTTATCTAAAAAAAAACTTTTAAAACTTAATAATAATAATAATAATAATAATTATTATTATTATTACTAATAATAATGAATAGCAGCAATATTTTTGTTTGTTTATTGTCTTTCACTTATTGTATTATTGTATTATTGTTTTGTTTTATTTTATTTACTTTTTACCGGTTTTCGCTCCAGTTTTGTTTTTGTTTCTGGTTTTCCTTTCGTTTTGTTTCCGGTTTTTGTTCATTTCTTGTTTTCATTTCGTTTCTCGTTTTGGTTAGTTTCTGGTTTTTGTTTAGTTTCATTTCCAGTTTTCGTTTCATTTCTGGTTTTCGTTTCATTTGCGTTTTTTGTTTCTGGTTTTCATTTCGTTTTCGACTTTCATTTAATTTGTTTTTTTTATTTTTGTATTTTGTTTGTTGTTTCTGGTTTTTGTTTCGTTTCTAGTTATTGTTCATTTCTGGTTTTCATTTCTTTTCTGTTTTTTGTTTAGTTTTTGTTTTTTTCCTGGTTTTCATTTCCGCTTTCTGTTTCATTTACAGTTTTCATTTCATTTGCTTTTTTTTGTTTCATTTCTGGTTTTTGTTGTTCGTTTCTGGTTTTTGTTTCATTTCCTGTTTTCGTTTAGTTTCTGGTATTAGTTTCTGGTTTTGTTTCATTATTGTTTTCACTTCATTCCCGGTTTTCATTTTGTTTTGTTAATAGATGCCCTAGTGGAAGTAGGAAAATTAATTTTATGAGTTAAAAATTGTAAAATTCAATATTGTAATTTTATAAATATATTTATTGTGTTCAGTAATCTAATTACTGATAACACATGAGGTTTGGGGTATGTGGCATATACTAGTCATTGTAATCACTGTATATTATTCATATTAAATTAATATAAATATAATTTTTTTTATATTTCAATTTGTGAATTTCATAAATTATTAATTGCGGAATAGTTTTTGTCTGTTAATATTATATGGAATGAAAATGAATTGAAAATTCTTTGAATTTAATTAATATTATTTTTTTTATAATATATTTTAATCATGCATATTTCTAAAAAAACCAAACCAATTAAGTGCACATAAAAAATAAAAATAGCAGATGCTTTATAAAAATGAACCAATGTACCGGTGTTATTAAATGTATAAAATAATGTAAAATAATAGGTAGATGATTAGAGTGACAGAGTTTTTGTTTGTCCGTGTGTGCGTGCGTGCGTGCGTGCGTGCGTGTGCGTGCGTGCGTGTGTGTGTGTGTGTGCGTGTGTGTGCGCGTGTGTGTGTTTGTAGGCTTCACTTCGCCAGCTGCAGCAGGAACTGGCCGACTGTCTAAAGAAACTGTCGATGTGTGAAGCTTCTCTGGAGGTCAACACGCGCTACCGTAATGATCTGGAGGAGGAGAAGACACGGACTCTCAAGGACATGGACAGATTGAAGAGCAAGGTGCGCATTAATCTACTTACACACTTCCTGAAAACTGTCCAATCAGATTGTACAAGCTGTATTAACCTGTACCAAGATGACACTGAAGAAAAATAAACGGTGGAAATTAAAACTATGAGGCCTTCTGTGAAATTTTACGGGGGGATTCTTCCAAAACAAAGATAAGGGAGTAGGGTAAAATCGGTCTATTTATTATGTACTTGGGTCGATCTGATTGGATTATTACTGATTACGGATGAGAATCCAGCTGTCCTCAATCATCTCACGTGCTCCTTTCGAAATTAGTTTATGAAACTTCTCTTAAAATTACACATTTGGCCTTCACCTGTATAATCAATAATCAGTTACAGCAAGCATACTCGTCCATTCATTACATTTATCAGTAGAGTTACTACAGATCAGTATATATTCTGGTGGTTTGTGTTGATGTGCAGCTGCAGGAGTCTGAGGAAACATACGTGCAGGCTGAGAGACGCATTGCTCAGCTGAAGAGCTCTCTGGATGATAAAGAGCGAGAGGCCTGCAGTAACGCTCACAAACTGGAGGAGGCGCTCTCTGCATCTGCAGGCAAAGAGCAGACCATCAGACAGCTGGAGGAGGCCGTGCAGAGGTATTGTTCACTTCATTTACTTCAACAAGTCAAACTACAAGCATTAATGTTGTTGTGTACACATATTTGTTATAAATATAGCATATAAAAGGAATTAATACCTTGTCGTAGTTGTGTTTATATGGTTGTGGGGGTATACACACTTTTTGTAATTGATTGTATACTGTTAAGATACAGAATATTTGTATGTTTATTTGTATTTATTTCAGTAAAATAGTTATTTGCATATTATATTTAAATATTTAAAAAGATTAAATAGTAAAAAAAAAAGTTAAATGATATTAATAAAATTAATATATTTGTGGTCATATGTAAATAATTCAGTAATGTAATTTATTTCATGCTATTTGGTTTTGGAAAATTATAAAAATGTATTCATAATAATCTGTATGTTTATCAGTTAAATAATTTAGCAAATTATCAAATTAAATATGAATGTAAATGTAAATATGTTTACATTCTTTTGTAAATATTTGATTTATTTATTTTGCTCAGTTTTATACGAATTGTAAATATTTTTTTTAGATTTCGGTTTACATTTTTCAGTGGTCATTTATTATACAATATTAAGGTTTTGTTTATGAGTATTGCATTAAAATAAATATAATTATTATTCATTCATTCATTTTCTTGTCGGCCTAGTCTCTTTATTAATCTGAGGTCGCCACAGCGGAATGAACCGCCAACTTATCCAGCAAGTTTTTACGCAGCGGATGCCCTTCCAGCCGCAACCCATCTCTGGGGAAATATCCACACACATTCACACACACACTCATACACTACGGACAATTTAGCCTACCCAATTCACCTGTACCGCATGTCTTTGGACTGTGGGGGAAACCGGAACACCCGGAGGAAACCCACGTGAAGGCAGGGAGAACATGCAAACTCCACACAGAAACGCCAACTGAGCTGAGGCTCGAACCAACGACCCAGCGACCTTGATGCTGTGAGGCGACAGCACTACCTACTGCGCCACTGCTTCGCCCATTATAATTATTATATGCATTATATTTGCAAATGTAGTGATTGCATAAAATATTAAATTGTTTACATATTTACTCCTGTATACATGTAATTTATTTTAAAAATCTACAATTTTTTTTTTGTAATCAGTAATAATCCCGATAGGGCCCAAGCACGACAAGTACATTTTATTGACAGCTTTATAAAAGCCCGAACCCATTTACAGCCTGACATTATTTAAATGTGCACATGTACACAGCTCTCTTGCCTTTGTTCAAGAATTAATCGTTTATATGTGTTTAACATAATTTATTCATAACAAACGTATAGGCCACTAAGAAGTTAGAACTAAGAAATAAAATAAGTCCTCTGTCACATCGTAACATCTCAGCACTCTAAATAGGCCTAGGTACATACATAAAGCCAGTGTTCGAACAATACCGTAGACTTTGGGAAAGCCCAAACCAGGCCCGACCCTGTCTAAAATGATAGAAATTAAGCCCGGTCCCGTCAGGTTCCGTTGGGTTCGGGCAAAGATTTTCAGCTCTAATATGTTAATTTATAATTAAAAACATAATAAGATTTCAGTGTCATAAAAATGTTGCTAACTGCATTTGTGTATTGTGCAGTTATTGCTGCAAATTAAATTCTCTGTACTTGTGTTTTTCATCGATCAACTCATCGATACGCCATCAGGTTAGAAATTGAGAACGCCAGACTAGAGGCTACAGCCAAACAGCAGACCAACCGCATCGAGACACTCCAGAAGGGCGTAACAGAGGGAGCAGCGGTGAGTCCTTTCAAAACATCACTCTTTTAACACTTCTGAAGCGTCCCGACTCAACCGATAATGCTACATTTACACATTAATCCAGACAGAGCTGCGTTTTTTACCACTTACATCCCCCGATCTTCCCAGTATTCAGTAAATACAGCAGTGCAGAAAGAGTCAGTCGGAGAGTAGAATGTAAACTCATGCTGTAGTCGCTCTTTCCACAGCTCTCAGGCTCAGCAGCTGGAGACGGGGTTGGTATCTAACATCAGTCTGTGATTTCTAGCAGTTTTCTTAATTGGGTGATCTTTCTTTACTGATTTACAGCTCTTCTTGACTTCAAATCTTACACTCGAAATAAACAAATAACTCTTTATTGCTGTTTAGGGATGCACAATGTATCAATATCAGCCGATAACTGTTATTTATTTACAACATATTGATATAAATGTGATTGGTTTATTTTAATTTTTTTAATTAATTATTTTTATTATTATTGTTGCTGTTGTTATCAGTCCAATAACTAAATTAGCAGATTCTTTTACGTATTATTTTCACTGTCTGACACAGTTTTATTATTTCACTGATATTTTGGTTTTGGTTAATGTTTAGTGAATTAGTCGCTTTATAATAATAATAATTATTATAATTATAATAATAATAATAATTATTATTATTATTATTATTATTATTATTATTATTAAAATAGTCAAGCAGTATATTTTATTTACATAAAAGTTGCCAGAGAAAATATTAGTTGATTTAATAGTCTTTGCTTTTTGTTTTTGCAATCATGTAGAAAAACAATTTACATTTAGAAATATTAAATAAATATTTATTTTATTAATATTTATTTAATATATATTAAATTAATATATAGTATATTTTTAATAAACATATAGCACATTTTTATCTGCAAATATATCTATTTGTTCACTGTATGTTTTTGCCTTTTGTTTTTTCAATCATGCAGAAAAAAATCATATTTATAAGTATTAAATAAATGTTTATTTTAATTCATATTTATTCAATATATATTAAATGAATATATTACATATTTTTATTAAATATATTGTAGTTTTTTTTTCAATATTTATTTGCAAATATATTGATAATTTATTCACTGTATATGTTTGCCTTTTGTTTTTCCAAACATACAGAGAAAAAAAATATTTATAAATATTAAATAAATATCTTTCAGTTAATATTTATTTAATATATATTTAAAAATATATATTTTTTTTATATTTATCTGTAAATATATCAATCTGTTATTCACTGTATATATTGGTTTTCCAATCATGCAGAAAATAAACTATATATATATATATATATATATATATACACACACAGTTTGAAGTCAGAATTATAAGCCTCCCTTTCATTTTTTTTTCATTTTTTTTTATATTTCCCAAATGATGTTTAACAGAGCAAGGAAATTTTCACAGTATGTCTGATAATATTTTTTCAAATAGAGAAAGTCTTATTTGTTTTATTTTGGTTAGAATGAAAGCATTTAAAAAAAATTAAAACCATTTTAAAGTCAATATTATTAGCCCCTTTAAGCTATATTTTAACGATAGTAGCTTCTTCAGAATAAACCATTGTTATACAATAACTAGCCTAATTACCCAAACCTGCCTAGTTAACCTAATTAAGCCTTTAAATGTCACATTAAGCTGTATAGAAGTGTCTTGAAAAATATCTAGTCAAATATTATTTACTGTCATCATAACAAAGATAAAATAAATCAGTTATTAGAGATGAGTTTTTAAAACTATTATGTTTAGAAATGTGTTGAAGAAAATCTGCTCTGTTAAACAGAAATTGGGGAAAAAAATAAACGGTGGCTAATAATTCAGCGGGGGCTAATAATTCTGACTTCAACTGTATATATGTAAATATTAAATGTATAAAATATCTGTAATATTAATTGGCAAATATATCGGCTATCAGTATATCGGTATACTAAAATTCCTTATTGGTGCATCCCTTATGCTGTTCTCTAGTTGGGTTAGTAATCGGGTGTTTTCTCTGTTGTGCTGGTGTTCGATTGTAAAACTATTTCTCTGGTTTCTGGGATCTGAAGTGTTTAAAGTAGATTTAGATCGGAATGATGCAAGGACCTGTTGTTTACTGATGTCTTCTGGATGTTTTCAGGTCAGGAATCGTTTGGAGGATCTGGTCACAAACCTGCAGAGCAGTAAGATGACGCTAGAAGAGCAGCTCAACCGAGAGGTACAAAACATGCATCCCATTGAGCTCCAAAAGATTTTCATATTTTCGACTTTCACATTCATTTTAGTTCATATTTCGATATTTGGGGGATTTGGGTTGGTTGGTTGATTATAATTAAATAATGTTTTGCTGTAAAGTATGTGTTTGTGCTGTTTTAGGTGCATCATCCATGATTAACCCTTGTGTATTGTTCAAATTGACTACCCTTTCGTTATGTTCATGGCTGTGTTTGCCTCATTGTCATGGCTTTGCTATTAAAAAATGTGATTATAATAGAAGTCAATAGGGTAAAAACAGCCACCAACATAACGAAAGTGTAGTCAATTTGCCCAGTGTATTGTTAAATTTTTGAAAGCAATTTCCCAAAATGGTTTTTAAAATAAATTTTGTCACTGAAAATCATTTCATGTGCTGAAAGTTGTTGGCCAAATTAATACGCAAAAACATCCCCAACAGCACACAAGGGTTTCATTTAAAACTAAATTGCCAGTAGGTGGCGACAATTTCCAGTCTTAATGTGTGATTCACTGAATCATTGATTAAAAAGTTTTATGACTATACCACTGATTCATTGACTCAAATGATTTGTTCAAAAACAGATTCGTTCAGGAAGGAAACACTACTCTTAGAAAGGAATCGCTAACATTTACTTATTTTTTATTGAACTGTATAAAATTAGCGTTTTACATCTTGATCATGCTCATGTGCTGGTATTCTGAAGACATAGGATATAAACAGTGTTGTTGGTTTGTTTCAGGTGCAGAAGCAGAGTATGCTTTCCCATAATGCCCAGGACTCACAGGCGCTGTGGGAGGAGGAGCTAAAGAGTCGCTCTAGACTGGGACTCCGCCTCTCTGAGCTGGAGAAAGAGAAAGGAGAACTGACCAATCAGGTGCCAGAAACGCGCAACAACCCTTAAACGGCAGCTCGAATAATTAGAATCATGTGACACTAAAAAATTGAGAAATCATGCTAAAAATTCAACTTTGCATCGCAATAATAAATTACATTCTAAAACATGGTCAATTGGAAAAGAGTTATTTTAAATTAAAAAAATATTTAGCAATTTTTACTGTATTTTTTAAATTTAAAAACATTTAAAACAGTATTTTATGTAAAGTATTAGGTCTCTTCAGTGTTGGGTAAGAAAAGTACCAAATTAATAGGATATTCTTATCTTACTCATTAAAAATGTATATTTAAATGGAAAAATAACAACCCATACTTTCACATTACATTCCTTAAATGGGAGCTATTATACAAAAATCAATTTTATGTTCAGCAGTGTGTGAATATAACCTGCTTCTAATGGTAAAAATGTATTAATTCTATTGTTTAACATCAGACTTGATTCTCCGTTTGTACGTGTCATCAGAGGGAGAAAGCCCCACCCACTAGTGACCATCTCTCCCTCATTAGCATAAACAGCCCTGAGTGAGAAGCAGCCGTCAACCGTTAGAGTTTTAAATCTGCTGTGTAGCTCCACCCTCTTTTGCAAAAGAGCACAATCTTATTTGAATTTAAAGCGACAGTCACCAAAATGCCACAATTCTGATCAAAGCCTAAAAGGGGCAGTTTCAGAGAGTGTATTTGTGTGGTATATCAAGTTCAATCTTCACATACATACTCAAAGGGGATGATAGGCATGATAGGCCCCCTTTAAAAAGGGTCCAAGTAACACATTTATCTACTTAAAAATATTACTGTTTATTATATAAAGTGTGACTAATATTATATATTTTTTGTTTATTTATTTATATATAAATATATATAAATATTATATAGTTTTTCCCCAACACTGTTCATTTCACACAAGAAGACACGGAAGCTAAAACTGCATTATTTTACTCTCTCTCAGATGGAGCTCGAGAAGAAAAAGGCCAAGAAGCTGTCGGAGCAGAAGAAGTCTGTGGACACTCGTCTGGAGCAGGAGATGCAGAGAAACACAGACCTCCAGAAAGAAATGTACAGGTGACTCTTTAACCTTCGACCCGAGCGCTGCGGCTCTCTCTGCACCTGTAGATGTGTTTGAGGCTGTGCGGATCCTCCTGCTTGCAGATCTGTGAGACACATGGCTTTCTAGACGCTTGGGCAAACAATCTGACGCACATTTAATTCTGTGAGGACTCGCTGTTTTGCTGCTATAGTGCTGTAGAATTATATATAGCCAAATGTTGAGATTAAACTATGAATGCTAGATTTTAATAATGATGCATTTCTGAGAGAAGTCGGATATTTGGCAGGACAAATAATTGAATATAAATATACTTTATATGCAGTTGAAGTATGAATTATTAGCCCCCCTGTTTATTTTTTTCCCCAATTTCTGTTTAACGGAGAGATTTCTTCAACACATTTCTAATCATAATAGTTTTAATAACTCATCTCTGATAACTGATTTATTTTCTCTTTGTCATGATGACAGTAAATAATATTTGACTAGATATTCTTCAAGACACTTCTATACAGCTTAAAGTGACATTTACAGGGTTAACTAGGTTAATTAGGTTAACTAGGCAGGTTAGGGTAATTAGGCAAGTTATTGTATAACGATGGTTTGTTCTGTAGACTATCGGAAAAAATATATAGCTTAAAGGGGCTAATAATATTGACCTTAAAATGGTGTTTAAAAAATTTAAAACTGCTTTTATTCTAGCCGAAATAAAACAAATTAGACTTTCTCCAGAAGAAAAAATATTATCAGACATACTGTGAACATTTCTTTGCTCTGTTCAACATCATTTGGAAAATATTAAAAAAAGAAAAAGAAATTCAAAGGGGGGCTAATAATTCTGACTTCAACTATATACCATAAGTATACTTATGAATACAAATATACTAAATATACTATATTCATGAAGAACTTATTAAATGGAAAAATCTCTGTAATTTTGGAGATGAGTTAATCAAATTTGAGAGATTGATGTCTTGATTGATTTGGGGATTGAATATAATTGGTATTGATTTTCATAATATTATTATACTAGTATTTATTATGATTATATATTTGCTATAAAGTGTATTTAATAGGGTTATTTTAGTTTTTATGGATGATTATTAGAATAAACAACATATTTAGGAAATACAATATTTCTTCAACATTTTAATTAGATTTTTTTTCAGTTTTAGTTGTAAATAAACTTAAAGTTTTTGTTTGATCAGAAATATGTCTTAAATTTGAATCAAAAATAAGTTAAAGTTAAATAAGTTTTATTTTAAATGGCACTTGAATTATCATGTTTAAAGGTGCAATATGTGACTTGGACACCCAGTGGGTGAACTAGGTATTGCACTCCCGGATAAAAACGCACGCAAGTATAGGTTGCCAGATTGACGACATCAACAGAAGTGTGCCTGACAACGGAGCTTAAAGGCTAATTTAAATCATCTTCTACATAAAAGCAACGAGATAGAAGGATTATTTTCCATAGTATGTTCTAACCAGCACCTAAAATGTATATTTTAGAAACAGCTTCTATTTTTCACATTTGAACTAATTAATTAATTAATTTTCTTTCAGTTTTATTTTAAGTTGTAAAACCAACATGTATTTTTTTTGTAAATTCTTTTTGCTTTTTATCAAATGAATGTATGTTTTTATTTATTTGTTTTTATTTTCAAATAGTTTCCATCAATAACACTGCTGAATGCCTCCATAATCATGTTGTGTGTGTGTATTTGTTTGTTTGTATATATATATATGTGTGTGTGTGTGTGTGTGTGTGTGTGTGTGTGTGTGTGTGTGTGTGTGTGTGTGTGTGTGTGTGTGTGTGTGTCAGGTTGAAGACCCTGCTGAAGACCGCTAAGAAGCAGTTGCGTGATGGGGGCGGTGGAGCTCTGGACTCTCCTCAGGGCAGCTTCAGAGCGGATGTGAGCCATCGTCTGGAGGCCGAGAGCTCCGTCAGCAGAATGAAGAGCAGGGTACAAACTCAGCTTAGCTTTAGACATTTACAACCTGTGGCCATTCAAACAGTGCTAGAAGATAACACACACACACACATAAAGATACTAGACTACTCTAGTTTTGGCTTTCTTTGTGTGTTCACTTTGATTGACATTCTCCAGTTGTACGTGTCATTAGAGGGGGAAAGCCCCGCCCACTAGTGATCATCTCTCCCTCATTAGCATAGGACATAGCATGTTTTTGAATCTGCCACTATGCTGACTCATAGGTGTTTGTAGCTCCGCCCTCTTTTGAAAAGAACTCAGTCTTATTTGATTTTAAAGCGACAGTCATCGCTGCCCACTGTTTTCTACTGTCTATTAAATATTCAGTTTTTCTAGGGACTATATCACAAAACGAAATGTAAAAAAATGGTCGCAGTTTCCAGTTTATGCAGACTTTAAAAAAACAACAAGACTTGACTTATTATTTACAGTTTAACAGACTTGTTTTGTGTCATAACTCACTCAAATGTGTTTTTTGCTGCTGTGTGACTCCGTCAGGTGGATGATCTGCAGGGTCAGCTGGAGCGAGAGGCGTCGCGCTGCTCTCGGCTGGAGGAGGTGAACCAGCAGCTGAAGGAGAAGCTGAAGAGCCGCAGCCGCAGCCAGGAGCAGACGGAGCGCAGGCAGCTGGAGGACGAGCTGTTGTCTCTGCGCCGGCAGCTGGAGGCCGGAGTCATGGATCAGAGTCAGGCTGAGCAGTACCGCAGGGACACCGAGGAGAGAGCCCGACAGGAGATCCGACACAAGCTGGAGGAGGTCAACCTGTTCCTGCAGGTACACAAATAAGACTGTGCATCTGCGCTGAAGAGGGCCGTATTATTGCCGTGCAACGGCCTGAGTGAATAACCATTACATACTTTGCTTTGTTTTATTTTACTATACTTCGTTTTATTTTTTTATTTTACTTTTTGTTTCATTTTATTTAATTTTGTTTTACTGTGTTTTGTTTTTATTTTAATTATTTTACTTTGTTTTTTATTGTTTATAGTACTGTTTTATTTTATTTAAAAAAAAATATTTTTACTTTGTTTTCTTTTCTTTTTATTCTTTTTTTTCCTTTTACTTTGTTTTCTTTTTTCTTTTTTATAATTTTTTTATATTTTTTTACTTAATTTTTTAATTTTACTTTGTTTTATTTATTTATGTTTATTTTATTAATTTATTTGTTTATATTTTGTTGCACTTTTTTATTTTATTTTACTTTGTTTTCATTTTTTATTTTATTTTTTGTTCTATATTATTTATTTTATATTTAGTTTTATTTTTAATTTTGTTTTACTTTCTATTTTATTTAAAAAAAATTTATTTTACTTTTTTATTTTGTATTTGTATTTGTTTTTTTGTTTTTTTCATTTGTTTTACTTAATTTTATTTACTTATTTTATTTATTTATTTTTTTTTATTTTTCTTTGTTTAGTTTTATTTTATTGTATTATAATTTTGTTTTACAATGTTTTGTAACTTATCTTGTTTCTTCTGAATTATTAAACAAAGAATATGAGTACATTTTCTTAAATTTTCTTTTTCAAATGAACTGCATTTTTATTTTTATTTATGAATAGGTTTTTAATAACACATCTCTAAAGTATGTTATTGTATTAAAGTAAATGTCAATTTACACAATGTATTTTTTAAATCTTTAGATATATTTGTCATTTTAAGTGTCTGGAGTGAATATATAAAAACATTTTTAATAAACTTTACTTAATGGCTGTAATATTTAGCTCTATAAATGTCCAAATTATTTATAAAATATTATAAAAACAACATGTTGTTTTTATTTAAAAAAAAACTCGTTATTTTTTAGATGCATACAGAATTTCACATTTATTTTATTTTGTTTTTAATAAATTAATTAATTTTAATATGTCTGTCAGTTATTGCCAAAATAAAGACAAAATGTTGGTTTTTAAAATGTATTACATAATTCAAGTAGGATAATTATAGTGATTTTATTTACTGTTTTATTATTGTTGTTATTTCATGTTATTATTTCATAGCATTATGCTATTTAGCTAATTATTTAATTTTAATAATTAAAATGAAAACGTTATAGACACTCAGTTAAAAAATTATTTTATTTATGCTACATATTTTGAAATCTAAAATGTTCATGTATAAATCTGATCCTTGTGTTTTTGTACATGCTGTGGTTTCAGACTCAGGCGGCATCCCAGGAGGCTCTGGAGCAGATGAAAGCAGCCAATGAGTCTAGTCAGAGAGCTCACCTGGAGCAGCGAATTAGAGACCTGGAGGCGGAACTAAGTCGATCACGCAGTGTGCAGCAGGACAGTCAGATCCAGAGAGACTCCAGCCAATCAGAGCTACAGCGCTACAAACAGCTGTACGGCGAAGAACTGCGCCTGCGCAAGAGTCTGGCTGCAAAACTGGACAGGTGAGCATCTCAGCATCTCTTCTAATCTTTTTAAAGCTCATGTAAAATTCAAATCAAGTTTTTAGATTGTTAGTTTTAAGGATATCTATAAGCTAGTGTGACTAAATTTGCGTTTAGAAAATATAAAACTGATATAAAGATCACATCAAGCATTGAATAAAAAACGCACATTTAAGGGTATTCGTTGTTTCAAAACTAGCAGGGAGGCACAATAAGATATGATACATTTATTAAGAATGGCTGAAAATCATTAAAAAAAATTTAGAAATTAAGGAAATCATATAAATATTTTAGTTGTATAATATAATATATTATTTGTAATATTTAATTTTACATTAAGTATTTTATCATTATATAGTTTATATTATATTATGAATATTCTTATAATATGTAACAAAAATAAAATCGTCATAAATGTCCCAAGTAAAGCTAAAAGAAATAATTAAATAAATAAATACTAATTATAAAATAAAAACTCTTATTTAAAAATCTTATTGAGGGATTTGCAATAAATTTCGATTGTACAGAGTAAAATAATATTAAATAAACTTTGCAAAATGTAAATATATATTGGTAAAAGTCAAACTAAAAATAGTAAATGCAAATAAAAACTGAATAATATTTTTATTAAACTATACATACATTTAATTTTTTTTTAAAATGTAATAGCAAAAAAAAATTTAATAAAAAAAACAAAAGTTTGTTAAATAAAAATAAAAATGCACATGCAAACAGTAGCTATGTTTTCTATCCACCTATTTTTATGCACATGTATGCACCTATTTTATGTACATTAAAAGTAAGTCTTTGAGAACTGGTTTCTCAAGCCAGGTGGCGCATTAGATCAGGGGCTCATCTCCTGTTTCCAAAATGCATCACAAACTGCTTAAGAAACTGTTCTACTATGAGAATTGGTAATGAAAATAAATTATGTTCAATAAGATGTGCTTGTGGTTACTCAGTTAAACATGAGTTTTGAACTGTAGGCCTACATTAGCTCCAAACAGCCATTTTTTATTTTATTTATTTATTTATTTTAATCACCTTAATCTGGCTAAAGTCATTACTGAACTAAACAGAAATGGAATGAAGACATGTGGAGTATGGAGATATTAGTGGAGTTATTAAAGTAAACACCTCGAGTAAACCATTACCAAACACATGGTGCGTTTTTTTTCTTTCCATTCGGTGTGCGTTATTAAATTCCATAACACTCTCAGCAGTCCTTACTCCTTATCTGCGTCTAATACCCCAGTTTGTCACGGGGGCATGAATGAAATGTTCATGAGTGAAAGTGAAACTGCCGAACTGCAGTTAAAGTCACCCAAAATTACAGGAAACTCTTACATGAAAGCACTTCACGTAAACACCTTTAATTATACTATTGTCTATTAAGGCAAATTACTAGACTACAGATGTCCATGTGAGCGTAGTCAGTAGTGTCTTCGAAGTAAGTGAAAGATCCAGAAGGGCATCCTGCTGATTTGATTCAGAAGGGCACTATTTTTGCCAGACGGCTCTTTGACTTTCATTCGCCGTCATTCATTTAAAAAAAGCACCCGCTCCATCTTATTTGTACATGTTTTACTCGAATGCATAAACTCTACAGGTGCCTTATAGTTAGATGTGGAGCTAACATTAATCAGAATCACTCTAGTAAACTGCATCCATGTTAGCACGTCACGTTTGATGAGGTAATTTCACAGTAGGAATACACGCATGTTTGAAGACTCGTTCTCGCCCCCTACAGTGCAACAAGGCTAAAATATCAAGGTGAAAGTCATCATAGCTTGCGTAGAATAGACCCAGCTCCCAACCCGACTTTGAGAATAGATTAACAGAGATATTGTTTTTTATCGTGCGATAAGAGTCTCGCGTTAATGCTGTGTTCACACCAGACGCGGAATGTGCGGATAAGTGGCGCTATTCGCGCGTAAATAGCCGCATGAACATTTGAGTTTACTCGCTTCATTCGCGCGTCAAACCCCGCTTCATTCGCGTGTCAAATTCACATCAGAACAGACGCGGATTCGCGTGATGGGCAGGGCTTCTGTCTGTCCGAAGACTCTAGCTTCATAGCTAAATGGCTAACATGGATTCAATGAAGAGAATAACAGTGTTTATGTGCTTTATGAAGACTGAAAAACAGCGTCGATACGTTTAGGGTCATGTCTGAGTCCACTACATCCTTTCAGAGGTGCATCCAGCTTTGTGAGCTCATAAACTCCTCCAGAAACTTAACCTGGATGACGGAGGCTTTCAGCGGTGCTTCTGACTGAGCCAAGCCGAGTTTGATGAACTGATGAACTGTGATGAACAGGTTTTACGTCACAATCACGCGCCCACAAGAGCAAGCTTCTGATTGGTTAACGCGGTGCGAATGTACGCTGAAGTTCAGATTTTCGAATTCGAGAGATTCACGCGAAACACTCGTTAAGTGCGTCAAACACGAAAAAACGCTTAATTCGCCCCGCGCCTTTCGTGCAATTTGCGTCATTATCGCCGCGCCATTCGCGCGTATCGTGCCGCAGGATGTCTATTCGCGCGTTTGTATTGACTTAACATGTAAATCACTCGCGCTTTGATGCGCGTGCCGCGTCTGGTGTAAACGCAGCATAACAGCGATAACGGCCCACCACTAATAAAAACAAATTCCAAAAAATAGGAATGAATGATCAGCATCGGCAGCTGTTTCAGTATGTCAGTATAATTCTCCAATAATGTGCATTATTTGTGATGATCCTGCGCAGGTCGAATGAGCGTCTAGCGGAGGCGAACACTAAACTCCTGAGCGAGCGGCAGCGCAGTAAGTCTCTGCTCAGCGGCAGCTTCATGAACGCAGGGTTAGCGGCTCCAGCTCTGGATGTGTCGTCTCTGGGCTCCGTCGGGGCCTACGGTGCGTCTCTGGGGCCCCTGAACCGCAGCCTGGGCCTCGGGACGCCTCTGCTGGGCACGCTGGGAGAATCACAGAGCAGCCGCGTGGAGGCATACCTGGCCAAGGTGAGCGCTAGTCTGCATTACAGACACCGCTTTATTTCTGAAACCGCCGCTAGCTATAGCTGAACTACCGCTTCCACTGGAGGATTTCCTACTTGCGCTGTCTTTGCTTCATTAACATAGTCACTGAGCTGGTTGTGTGTGTGTGTTTGCACGTGTGTGCGTGTGTGTGTGTGTGCGTGCATGCGCGTTTGTGTATGATGAGAGTGATTGTGTGTGTGTGTATGTGTGTGTCTGCGTGCGTGCATGTTTGTGTATGAATAGAGTGATTGTGTGTGTGCGTGTGAGTATCGGTGTTTGTGTTTGAGCGTGTGTGTTTGTGGTGTGCTTTTGTGTGATTGTGTTTATGTGCTTGTAAGTAGTGTGTGTTTGCATGTGCTTGTGTGCGTGCATGTGAATGTGTGTATGTATGAGTGTGTGTGTATGTTTGCGTTAGTGTGTGTTTGTCTATAGTGTGTGTGTGTGTGTGTGTGTGTGTTTGGGTGTGCTTTTTTTTGTGTGTGTGTGTGTGTGTGTGTTAATAGTGTGTGTTTGCATGTTGTTGTGTGTGTATGCGTGCGTATTTGTGTCTGCGTGAGAGTGTTTGTCTATGTTTGTGTTTGCGTGTTTGTCTATAGTGTGTGTGTTTGTGTGTGTGTGTGTGTGTGTGTTTGGGTGTGCTTTTTTGTGTGTGTGTGTGGGTGTGTGTGTGTTAATAGTGTGTGTTTGCATGTTGTTGTGTGTGTATGCGTGCGTATTTGTGTCTGCGTGAGTGTTTGTGTATGTTTGTGTTTGCGTGTTTGTCTATAGTGTGTGGGTGTTCTTTTGTGTGAGTCAGTGTTTGTGTGTATGTGAGCATGTGTGCTTTTGTGTGAGTGAGTAAGTGGGTGTGTGAGTCGTTTGTGTGCTTTTATGTGTGTGTGTGGGTGTGTGTTTGGTTTGTGTGTGTGCTTGTGTGTTTTTATGTAAAGTTTGTGTGTGTGTGTGGTGTGTGTGTGTGTGTGTGTGTGTGTGTGTGTGGGTGTGTGTTTGGTTTGTGTGTGTGCTTGTGTGTTTTTATGTAAAGTGTGTGTGTGTGTGTGTGTGTGTGTGTGTGTGTGTGTGTGTGTGTGTGTGTGTGTGTGTGTGTGTGTGTGTGTGTGTGTGTGTGTGTGTTTGTGTGTGTGTGTGTGTGTGTGTTTTTGTGTGAGTGTGTAGGATGAGTGTTGTTGTGTATGGTGTGTGTGTGTGTGCGCGTGTGAGTGTGTGTGTTTGTGTGTTCTTGCGCGTGTGCGTTTGTGTGTGTGTGTGTGTGTGTATGTGTGTGTGTTGGTGAGTGAGTGAGTGAATGTGCCTGCCTGCCTGCCAGCGTGCATGTGTGTTTGCGTGCGCGTGTGTGTGTGTGTGTGGACTCACGACTCTTCTGTCTCTGATATCTTCAGCTTCTAGCTCAAAAGTCTGTTTCTCACCTGTCCTCTCTGCAGCCTGATACCTGAGCAGGTGTGTAGCGGTGTCTATATCTCTGACTGTCAGCACACACACACACACACACACACACACACACACACACTCTTACAGTGCATCTGGTTTGTATTGATAGTGCTTCACTTTTTCCACATTTCTTTATGTTACAGCCTTGTTCCAAAATTAATTAATTTCATTTATTTCCTCAACATTCTACAGACAATCCCCTATAATGACAATGTGAAAAAAAAGTTTGTTGCAAATTTATTAAAAATAAAAAAGCTGTAAAATCAGATGTACATCAGTATTGACAGCCTTTGGTGTGAAGCTCTAAACTGAGCTCAGGTTCATTCTGTTTCCACTGATCATTCATGAGATGTGTCAGCAGCTTCATTGGAGTTCACCTGTGCTCAGTTCAGCTGATTGGACATGATCTGAAAAGGCATACACCTGTCTGTATAAGGTCCCAGGGTTGACAGTGCATGTTAAAGCACAAACCAAGCATGAAGACAAAGGAATTGTCTTTAGACCTCCAAGACAGGATTGCCTCCAGGCATAAGGCTGGGGAAGGTTACAGAAACATTTCTGCTGCTCTGAAAGTTCCAATGAGCACAGCGACCTCCATCATTCGTAAGTGGAAGATGTTTAGAACCACGAGGAATCTTCCTAGAGCTGGCCGGCCATCTAAACTGAGAGATCAGGGGAGAAGGGCCTTAGACAGGGTGATCAATAATCTGATGGTCACTCTGTCTGAGCTCCAGCGTTCTTCTGTGGAGGGAGGAGAACCTTACAGAAGGACAACCATCTGTGCAGCAATCCACCAGGCCTGTATGGTAGAGTGACGGAAGCTACTCCCCGCCTAGGATTACTAAAAGGCATCTGAAGGACTTTCAGACCATAAGAAACTAAATTCTCTGGTCTGATGAGACTAAAATTGAACTCTTTGGAGTGAATGCCAGGCATTACGTTTGGAGAAAACCAGGCAGCGCTCATCACCAGGCTAATATCATCCCTACAGTGAAGCATGGTGGTGGCAGCATCATGCTGTGAGGATGCTTTTCAGCAGCAGGAACTGGAAGACTAGTCAGGATAGAGGGAAAGATGAATACAGCAATGTACAGAGACATCCTGAATGAAGACCTGCTTCAGAGTGCTCTTGAACTCAGACTGGGATGACGGTTCATCTTCCAGCAGGACAATAACCCAAAGCACACCACCAGAATATCAATGGAGTGGCTGAGCACTTGAGTGGCCCAGCCAGAGCCCAGACTTAAATCCTATTGAACATCTCTGGAGAGATCTGATACAATGGCTGTACCCCGTCGCTCCCCATCCAACCTGATAGAGCTTGAGAGGTCCTGCAAAGAGGAATGGGCAAAAACTCCCAAAGACAGGTGTGCCAAGCTTGAGGCATCATATTCAAAAAAGACTTGAGGCTGTAATCGCTGCCAAAGGTGCATCAACAAAGTATTGAGCAAAGGCTGTGAACACTGATGTACAAGTGATTTTTCAGCTTTTTCATTTTTAATAAATTGTTTTTAAAAAATTACCATTGTTATTATGGGGATTGTGTGTAGAATGTTGAGGATTAAATTAATTTAATCCATTTTAAAATAAGGATAAGGCTGTAACATAAACAAATGTGGAAAAAGTGAAGTGCAATCAATACTTTCCGGATGCACTGCATATCACACAAATGAACACAAACACACACACCTGCTTTAATGTGAATGCTGCTTCACAGTTTTTTTTTCGCAGATCAGTTTTATATTTATAATAATCCATCTGAAGGAAATGATTTGAGTCATTATAGAAGTAGCTTCCAGTTGAAGGAAATAAACATCATTTTTAACTGATTTAATTCATATCAAAGTTAATCATATTTGACTTTTGGCTGTTGGATGAATAATATTTATGGTTCTGTCATCACACTGGAAATGGAAAGATAAAATCAAGCACAGTGCATTGTGGGAAGCTATATTCTGTACTGTTTGCTTTGGTTATTTTACACCAGGTTCTGACTTTTATATATTGTCTAAATATGATTATACAATCTGTTGTTTATGGTCATGCATGTGTTCTGTAACTGCACAACACTTTTATTGGATCTATTCTGAAGGTTAATATATTTTTTGAACTATTATCTGGGTGTGAATGATTGAGTCGAGCATCAGATCTCTTTTTTAATGCCACAGGATTTATATAACAATATTCAATTCATAATAATTATTTTAATATTAATAGAAACACCTCAGTCAAATGCTAGTGTTGGACGTGCACGTGTGTGTGGAGCTGAAGTCAGATGGGTGATCTGGTTTGTCTGTCTCTGTTGCAGATGCAGACCGAGCTGGAGAAGAATATATCGAAGGAGCTGGACTGTGGTGAGTTGTTATTACAGACACATATCCTTATCATCAAATCTGGAGGAGTTAGACTTATATTGCGTTCTGCTCTGTTTGACTTGGGAGAGATTCATAAACATTTCTGTCAAATATGAAGTTGTTTTTAGTGTAAAATAAAACTTTGGAAATGCCTAAAGACCATCAATATACTTAACATTTATTTTGCCAGAATTGTTTATGATATTTGTGAAAGAGATTTACATTCGTTCATTTAGAAGAGTTTTTTATCTTAAGCATCTTAAAAACGAGGTCAGAGAGAGAGAAGGGATCTCTTAATTATCTATCTATGAGGTTGAATTTGTTTTTTTTAATAATATAAAATAAATAATAATTTCTTTGCCATTATAGTTTTGACATGGCTTGTGTAATGCAAAGTCTCAGAGGTTGTTTTTGTGTAGATTAATAATAAAGGGGTAAGTGTTGTAAGGTAATGGTAAAAACATGGTAACATTTTTTCCACATTCACTCATTAATGAGAAGTTGCTAATGAGACACAAAATGGTTTCAATTTAATGTCGGCATGAAATCAAAATGTATTATTTGTATTTTTATGTAAGTACAGTAGTGCTTGTTATAAATAATTTTTCGGTGCACTTCATTAGTTGGCAAAAATGAATTTGCCCTCATTATTCATTCATTTATTTTCTTGTCGGCTTAGTCCCTTTATTAATCCGGGGTTGCCACAGCGGAATGAACCGCCAACTTATACAGCGGATGCCTTTCCAGCCGCAACCCATCTCTGGGAAACATCCACACACACATTCACACACAAGCTCATACACTATGGACAATTTAGCCTACCAAATTTAACTGTACCACATGTCTTAGGACAGTGGGGGAAACCGGAGCACCCGGAGGAAAGGGAGAACATGCAAACTCCACACATGCAAACTCCACACAGAAACGCCAACTGAGCCGAGATTCGAACCAGTGACCCACCGACCTTCTTGCTGTGAGGCGACAGCACTAACTACTGCGCCACTGCCTTGCCTCTGCCCTCATTATCCTTTAGCAAATACCATAACCACCCCCCCCCCCCCCTCCAAACAACTTTTCTTCACTTCTGGTCACATGGAATGCCTTAAGGGCGGGGCTATCAGTGATTTAGGGTGGGAATATCAATAATTTGAGGCGGAGCTATCAGTCCTTTAGGGAGGAGCTATCAATCCTTTAGGGAGGAGCTAGTAATTCTATAGGACAGGGCTTTTGTGTGTCTCGTTTCTGCCCTGCTTTTGTCTGTTTGTCAATCTTTTTTTATTTTTGTTAACAACACCCATCATCCATTGATCTAGTCTGCTCCCAATAAATAAAATAAATAAACAGGTTAGGGACTGTTTCAATTAGATCTGCTGGCAATCCTCACTTCATACTGACTTTTAAAAAATGTTTCAGAAATCAAATTGACTTTCATAAAGTAACAATTCATGTCATTGTGTGTGTGTGTGTGTGTGTGTGTGTGTGTGTGTGTGTGTGTGTGTGTGTGTGTGTGTGTGTGTGTGTGTGTGTGTGTGTGTGTGTGTGTGTGTGTGTGTGTGTGTTTGTGTGTGTGTGTGTGTGTGTGTGTTTGTGTGTGTGTGTGTTTGTGTGTTTGTGTGTGTGTGTGTGTGCGCGTGCGCGTGCGTGTGCGTGTGTCAGTGTCAGGGGATCTGAACGGAGGCTCAGCCCGCATGTCCCCTGTAGGATCAGCCTCCGGTTCCCAAAACCTGAACGTGACCCTGGAGCAGACGGACCCTGTGAGCAGAGCCACACAGCAGTATCTGGAGGTGCTCAAGAAAAACTACATGATCTGACACACACACACACCACTGCTAAAACACACATTGAGCACGCATTCTGTCATCATATTACAATGTGTTCATACCTCCACTATTATTCCTGCCGCTCAGGAACTTTGCATTTGTACTTTTCTGACTGTGGAAAAATAAGGCCATGTGTTTTTGTGCATAAGTGCTACAGAAACAGCCATCACAAGGGCCAAATCCAACACTGCAATCAGTTTTTGCGATCTTGAATGTCGACAAAGCACTTCTGCAGTGCCTCAGGAGTACATGAAGGTACAAGTGCTGCTTTATTCTCGTTTATCATATGTGGCTTTAGTTGACTGTATATATTTGGCCAGTTTTTGTAGGCGATGCAGATTATAAAGAGTGTTAATCGTGTACCGGTGATATTATTATCTCCAAGTATTGACAATGGTACGTTCTACACAGTTGTGCAATATGTTTATTTTAATATCGAAAGACTGAACTCTCGTTTAGAGGTGTTTTATGAGAAATAAATGCTGTACTTGAATGAGACAAACTAGACGACGCTCAGGAGAAATCAGTTCAGTGTATGAGTGAATCTCAGTAATTATTGTACAGGGCATAATTCAGATGCTGCATAAATGATATTTTGAATAATAGTAATAAATATGCTTCATTTTTTTGCAGTGGGATTTATTTGACAGATAAGCACATTGCACATTATATACTATTAAAAAAACATTTGTAATTCTAACCAACTACATTTTTTTCTTAAAAGATAAAAGCGCTAACAATATCTGAAATATTTAGGAAATTTTAAAAGATCTTTATACAATATATATTTATATACTAACATCTTATTTAACATTTGGCCTGTATAGGTTTCTACAATACAAAATTCAGTAAAACATTTTTTTTTTAATTATTACAATTCAGATTACATATTTACAAATATCTGAAGTCATATAACTTACATTTTTAATAAGTTACTTTTTTTTACTGTAATACTATTTAACATACAATATCATGCACATACACACACACGCACACACACACACACACACATATATATATAAACAGAAGTGAAGTCACTTTAAAGGGTTAGAATGCCTATTTCTGTCTACCCGCGTTACCAGATGCTTGGTGGGTTTAAGTCTGATCGTCTTGTGTCTGATCTGACTGCTGTGCTCCTCTCCTTAGCAGAGTCCGAGCAGAAAAGGTGTAAAGAATTGGGTTTATGCTGTTATTGATAAAGAAAAGAGCCCTCGTTGTATTGTAGATAATGTCTGATATCCAGGGTATTGCCATTGCCAAAAAGTGGTTGATGGTACAGGGGATCCCGAATATAAAGAAGGTCACTACAATCCTGACGGCCAGTGTGGTCAGTCTGTGACTGCTGAAGGAGACCGACTGACTGACCCGCCGGTGGAGCCCAAAGTAGAAGCACAACAGGCTGAGAAGAGGCACAATGAACATCAGTAGAGCTTCCACAATCAACACCATAATTTTTCCAAGATCATTCTCAAAATACTGATCACAATACAGAAGCCCATCCTTCTTCTTAATGACATTTTGGTAATAAAGAGAGTACGAACCCAAAGCTGCGCTTAAAGTCCATATGGCAGAAATCATCCCGCTTTGGTTCTTCTCTCCAAGCGTGGCCCATATCTGTGGATGAAGCACCTGCAGGTATCTCTGCACGCTCAGCAAGCAGACGCTCAGCACACTGCAGTACAGACTCCAGTACACTATATAGGAGAAGAGCTTACACAGAGCCTGACCGAACACCCATCCATTGAGGAGAGCGTAGATCCACACCGGCATGAACAGCAGACTCATCAGATCCGACACCGCCAGACTGAACATCAGCTTCGGAGTAAAGCTTCTGTCCTTCAGATATTGGCCAAGCAGGACCAGCACTGCTATATTACCCGGGACGCCGAGGACAAAACACAGCCCCAGGACAGCGCTGGACACCAGCAGATCCACTGAGGGACCCGCAGATGAAGACATGTTGGAGATGTTCTGGTACTCCATGGTTTCTGCTAATGTGAACTCGAGGTTTACCTTATAAATGAGGAGGAAGTGAACCTGCATTACAATTGTGGTCTTGTAGAGGAAGTTATAATTTTGACCACTAAAGGAAATGCAAATCTGTGAGTGATGCCTGATGTAATGTTTAGTGTTTGTTGCATTTCCTTCTTTCAGTATCGGATCTATTTTCTCTTTGCGTAGACTGTTCACTCAGCGTACAATGAGTTTAATGTTCTCTCCTTTTTATATATACATTTGTCCTTTTCTCTGTTTCTATACACACACATCATTTTGTTTTTTCTGTGGTGGTGATGTTATGGAGATTCAAAAGGAGCTTAAAAACACATATTCAGTTACATGCATATAAATATTATATTTATATATATTTATATATATATATATTTATATATATATATATATACATATATATATATATATATACATATATATACATATATACATATATATACACACACACACATATATATATATATATATATATATACATAAGAATAAGGTAAGAACTCTCGTTTAGAGGTGTTTTATGGGAAATGAATGCTGTACTTGATTGAGACAAACTAGACGACGCTCAGGAGGAATCAGTTCAGTGTGAGTGAATCTCAAACATTGTTGTATATGGCATATTTTAAATGCTGCATAAATTATATTTTGAGTAATAATAATAATAATTAAATTAGCTTCATTTTTTGCAGCGATATATTCTTGACAATTAAATACACTGCACTTTCATCCCATCTGTGTATTCATGAAAACATAACAAATATACACACATTTATCATGTGAACACGAACTTTTATTTTGAAAGCGATTATAATTATGCAGTGGCGCAGTAGGTAGTGCTGTCGCCTCACAGCAAGAAGGTCGCTGGGTTGCTGATTCAAGCCTCGGCTCAATTGCCATTTCTGTGTGGAGTTTGCATGTTCTCCCTGCGTTTGCGTGAGTTTCCTCCGGGTGCTCCGGTTTCCCCCACAGTCCAAAGACATGCGGTACAGGTGAATTGGGTAGGCTAAATTGTCCGTAGTGTATGAGTGTGTGTGTGAATGTGTGTGTGGATGTTTCCCAGAGATGGGTTGCAGCTGGAAGGGCATCCGCTGCGTAAAAACGTGCTGGATAAGTTGGCGGTTCATTCCTCTGCGGCGATCCCGGATTAATAAAGGGACTAAGCTGACAAGAAAATGAATGAATGAATTATGATTATGATTTCACAGCACAATACATTTTGTTGTTTCGGTAAAACATAAAACTGTTCATAATGTTTGCTAATTTACAATGCCGTCATTTAGTTTTGTTTTGCTTACACTACCAGAAATTATGCCATGTTTATTTTCATTTGTAAAGAAGTTGAGAAGACAGCTGATTTTTTGTCACAACCCATGAAAACATTTATTATGTTGACCAGAATAAAATGAAATTAAATGTTCATAATGACGATATTTTTATTTGAAATTTGAAAGAAATGTAATCAGACCCAGATAGAAAAACAAATACAAATATAAACATGTTATTTACCAACTAAACCCAACAAATCTGAACAAGTCTCTATTTACAAGTCTCTAATGGTATATACAAAACATTCAGTAAAACATATACAACCCCACATCAGAGGAAGTTGGGAGAGTAATTCAAAAGAAAGTGATTTCTAAATTACGTTGACTTGTATTTCATTGCAGACAATACAACAAACTAGTGCTGGGTGACATTGCAAAAAAAATTATTGCGATATCATCATTAGGTATCAATAATTTTGAACAATCCATTTAGGAATAGTAGGATGTTTTATTTATTTGACCACTTTATTTTAATTTACCAACATTCATTCATTCATTCATTTTCTTGTCGGCTTAGTCCCTTTATTAATCCGGGGTCGCCACTGCAGAATGAACCGCCAACTTATCCAGCAAGTTTTTACGCAGAGGATGCCCTTCTAGCCGCAACCCATCTCTGGGAAACATCCACACACACACTCATACACTATGGACAATTTAGCCTACTCAGTTCACCTGAATCGCATGTCTTTGGACTGTGGGGGAAACCGGAGCACCCGAAGGAAACCCACGCGAAGGCAGGGAGAACATGCAAACTCCACACAGAAACGCCAACTGAGCAGAGGTTCAAACCAGCAACTCAGCAACCTTCTGGCTGTGAGGCGACAGCACTACCCTACCTACTGCGCCACTGCCTCGCCCACTAATTTACCAACATTACTAAGGCAAATAGTTTTAATAGTCAAAAACAAAAATATTTAAACAAAAATATCTGATCTCTTTATAATAAAATAAAGTGTTCAAGAGACTCTTGAAATTGATAAATAAAATGTTCCAAGGTGTGTGCAATGGTAAAGGTAGATCAACATCTGTAACCTCAAACTCTGTAAACTAAACAACTTATGATAATCAAATCTGAGCTTTCAAGTAGAGCAGGGGTCTCAAACTCAATTTACCTGGGGGCCGCAGGAGGCAAAGTCTGGGTGAGGCTGGGCCGCATAAGGGATTTCACAAAAAAAAGTCCTCAAATGTCATTATTAACAGTTTTAATTATTTCTTCTGAACATGAAGTGTCCTGAACATTAATAGAACATTGAGTGAAGATTATGAACAGTTCTTCTGAACATGGCATCTTTTGTCTACTTCTTGCTGCCAGAGACTTGACAGCGCTTCTCACAAATCTGAACCACATTTGGCTTTAGAGCGGAAGCAGTTGAGACCGTCAGTATGGCTTGAGGATGATCATCAAGTCTAGACCTGTACTTTGACTTATTGAAGTTCAAGGTGGAAAATAACTTCTCACACAGAAAAAAGTGGGGGAACTCACTCAAAACTTCCATTCCCTCACCTAAAAAAAAGGCGTATATATGTATAAATAAAACACCCCCACCCCACTCCAGTCACATCAATCTGTGCCAGTCTGTATCTACCTATAATATATATAAGATGCAGGCTGTAGCTAGGTAGGTGGCAGGCTGCAGATAGGTAGCTAAGTGGCAGGCAGGGGCGGGAACAGCTTACCTTGGTTCTGGCCGGCGCGAGTTCCCTCCTAACGCTTCTCGCCCGTCACGGCGTCTAACCAAGGGGCGGGGGGCGTGGTGACGTCACCGGCGTCCCCGCCCCTTGGTTTACACGGCGGGCGGGGAATGCCAGTGACCGCTGTGAACGGATAGAATCAGCGGAGCGGGGAGCGCTCTCTCTCCCCGCTCCGCTGATTCTGTCAGTGTACAGTGGTCGGCGCGGGCCACAAAATATTGCACTGAGGGCCGCAAATGGCCCGCGGGCCGCGAGTTTGAGACCCCTGAAGTAGAGGAACCAACCATCATTATTCAAATACACACTCTGCAACATTACAAATTGTGAAGCTGAATGACTTTATTACCCAATATGCTAAAAAAAAAATCTTTGAGATGGGGCGCTAGTGGCTGGATGCACAAGAAAAGAAACCAAAAAGCCACTCTGGCGACATCTTTGCATCTTTTTTTATTTATCTCCTCACTGCTGCCATTCGGCGCTCATTTTCGCATGTGTTGTTATTCTGACCTGAAGTGATAAGCTCGACCGTGTGGATTTCTTGACCATTTTCTATGCGCTTTGTGCTTGCACTCCACTGGCATCTCTCGTAACTATACGCAACCATCAAGCGTTTTCTCAGAGGATGACAAACGGACAAATTGCTGCAGCTCTTATACAAATTTAAAGAGAAAAGTATAAAGCGCTGCAGTGTTTGAGTGCGCCGTGTTTGTCTGAGGTAATTAGTCTGCCGCTATTACTGAAATGTGTTAATACCAAACAAAGTGTGTAGCAGATTGGTTAGTTCTACTTGCATGAATCGCGGTGTGCTCAGGGCATTCTGAAAAGCTCAGATGTTTTTTTTTTTTTTTTTTTTTAACTAGGTGTGCCTGGAAAATGCGAGCACGTTACGTGTGCGCCGCTTGCACACCATGTGCGTGTCATGCAAGTCGCACGCCTCCATTGGAAATGACAAACTTGCACCCTAAGCTTGTTGGCATTCCTTCACCCAGCCTCCACATTTTGATAAAACTATTCGCAACTACATACCAAACTTCGATGCTGATATTATCGCCCAGCCCTACAACAAGCATTATTTAATGTGTTCATCATTTTTTTTTTTTTTTGAATTTTATTTGAAAAACAAACAAGTGTTGTAATTAAGTTGGTTGTACGAAGGTTTTCCAAAGTAGTGATGATTTGGCTTTTAGATGAATGAGGATTCTTGATGCAGTGCCGCCTGAGGGATCGCGGATCACAGTTGTTCAGCTTAAGCTTGCCCTCTTGTCTTTTACACACTGAAATTCCTCCAGATTCTTGAATCTTTTAATGATGTTCTGCACTGTTCAAGCTGCAATATCCAAATGTCTTCCTCTCGTTCTATGAGGTAAATTGTATTTAAACATTTCAATCATTTCTCATGTATTTGTTGGCTAACTGGCGATCCTCTGCCCATCTTTGCTCCTAAAGGACTAGACCTGTCTTGGATGCTGCTTTTATACTAAATCCTAATTACAATCACCTGTTGACATCATCTGTTTCAAATCCCATCATTAAAGCAATTTACCTGATTAGCAGCCCTAAACTGCTCCTGTCCCAACTCTTTTGGGATGTGTTGCAGGTCTGAATGACTGGAAAGGATGTATATTAACAGATGAAATGAAGATGATCAGACAAAACATGAAATATTTCATGTTGTCTGCACTGAAATACAACTCAAAGTAAACTTGAAATCACTACTTGATTTTTTATTTGTTTCCATCCTGTCCCAGCTTTTTCTGATTTGGGGTTGTATATGTACTATCCGCTTGTTAAGTGTGACGTCACGCGGAGCGGCTTCCGGGTCCAAGCGCTCTATTCAACTGAATAGGGAGACTCATGAAATGGTAATAATAAACGTTTACAAAGCGATTTAATACTTTCAAAAGTCACGATCGCAATATATATATATATATGTCCATGCCTAATATCCGATGGCCAGAAAGTAATTCATTGTTTTATAAATTGTTAAAATTTTGGTATTTGTTATGCAGCAAATCCAAAGATTGTTGTGTACACTATGAGTTTATGTAAAATTAACTTTAATGTGTGATAGGAATAAAAGTGATCATAAACGAATGATTTCTCCACTCAAATGAGTGGCGGCTTGGACCCGGAAATAGTATTACATACATCACAAACACGTCACCACTTAACAAGCGGATAGGGATATAATAAAATGGCTGAAAATATTTTTAATTGAAACAAATTACACTATCACATGCACGAACAATTGTCCTTGATAATATTTTTAATCCGAGTTAATCACACCTTTTTTTCCACACCAATTGTTGTCCACGCATTATTTACTTCTCGTCTTGACTACTATAATGCACGTCTTTCTGGACTTCCTTCCAAACTTCTCTGTAAATTCCAACTGGTTCAGAACCATGCAGCTCGTGTCATCACTAGGACCCCATCTCACGAGCACGTCACACCACTCCTCTATCAGCTCCACTGGCGTCCAATAAAGTATCGTATTGATTTTAAAATATTACTTCTAGCTTTCAAGGCACTTCATAATCTTGCGCCTCAATATCTTACCGAACTTCTTCATATCTACACCCCTTCTCGTACTCTTAGATCAGCCAACAGCTCCACCCTGTTACCACCTCGCACTCGAGTACAATGGGAGACAGATCCTCTAGCTCTATGGCTCCTCGGCTCCAAGGAGAGATCTAAGGAGCAGTGATAGTCTTCACACTTTGAAATCCCGTCTAAAGACCCATCTTTTTAAGCAGGCTTTTCTTTAACTATTTTTCATCATGCTTTTTATTATGTTCTTTTATATTCGTTATTGTGTTTTAACCTGCATGGTCAATAATTGTTTTAGTAATATTTAATTTGTTTTAGCATGGCTGTTGATACTTGTTTTAAGGCGACCTTGGGTGTCTTGAAGGGCGCCGTTTACAAATAAAATGAATTATTATTATTATTATTATTTTGAGCTTCTAATGACACACTTATTGTAGAACTATACAAATACAATATTACACGCTTACAATATTAAAAATTCACATATTTACATAATTCAAAAAGTGATGTCCTTGCAAAAACATGGTCGGGAATGTTCTACTATTGGTATATAATCGGTAAAATTCATCCATTTGTGGCTTGAAATGTCTCAAAAATCACAAATAAATGCAGCTTGTTTATTTACAGGTGCTGTCTTTATTTTTTAGTCACTTAATTATAAGTTTGTGAATCTCCAAAGATTTATTTGTGGATCTTTTTTTTTTTTTTTGCTTGATTGCTTTGCATTCATTTGTGGATTGTAATAAATGTATTTGGAGTCATGCAGCAATTTTATCTTCAAATTGCAGGGTTTGTGGTCATCGCTTTGAGACATCATTCCAGATATTGGGTCTTATAATGTCAGTCGGCTCGATAATTTCACCAAAAATTGTCCGGTTATGAAAGCAATTTCCACTTACCAGAGTTAAAGTTAATTGAGGAATTGTGGACTGTCAGTGGGATAAAGTTTAAATTTGATCGTCTTGTGTCTGATCTGACTGCTGTGCTCCTCTCCTTAGCAGAGTCCGAGCAGAAAAAGTGTAAAGAATTGGGTTTATGCTGTTATTGATGAAGAAAAGAGCTCCAGTTGCGTTGTAGTTGACTTCTGATTTCCAGGGCATTGCTATTGCCACAATGTTGTTGATCATACAGGGAATCCCGAATATGAAGAAGGTCACTACGATCCTGATGGCCAGTGTGGTCAGTCTGTGACTGCTGAAGGAGACCGACTGACTGACCCGCCGGTGGAGCCCAAAGTAGAAGCACAACAGGCTGAGAAGAGGCACGATGAACATCAGTACAGTTTCCACAGACAACACCACAGTTTTTTCAAGATCATCTCCATAATCCTGATAACAGTACAGAAGCCCATTCTTCATCAGCTTGACGTTTCGGTAGTAAAGAGCGTAGGAACCCAAAGCTGCGCTTAAAGTCCATATGGCAGAAATCATCCCGCTTTGGTTCTTCTCTCCAAGCGTGGCCCATATCTGTGGATGAAGCACCTGCAGGTATCTCTGCACGCTCAGCAAGCAGACGCTCAGCACACTGCAGTACAGACTCCAGTACACTATATAGGAGAAGAGCTTACACAGAGCCTGACCGAACACCCATCCATTGAGGAGAGCGTAGATCCACACCGGCATGAACAGCAGACTCATCAGATCCGACACCGCCAGACTGAACATCAGCTTCGGAGTAAAGCTTCTGTCCTTCAGATATTGGCCAAGCAGGACCAGCACTGCTATATTACCCGGGACGCCGAGGACAAAACACAGCCCCAGGACAGCGCTGGACACCAGCAGATCCACTGAGGGACCCGCAGATGAAGACATGTTGGAGATGTTCTGGTACTCCATGATGATCTGAACAGTGAGGTTTGGTTAGACACTGGTGAGGAAGCCAACTTCTGACACAATCGTGGTCTGGCGGAGGAAGTTCATATTTGTGTGTTAACGGACATGCAAAGCTGCAAAGCAAAGTGTGTGCAAAGTGTATATATGCACACGGTCTGTTTCTGTTTATGCCGCATATCCTCCAAGCATCTGCTATCTGTGTGCATTGATGAAAATCATACTGTCCACACACACACACGAAGGGGGTTTGTTTTATTATTTAATAATGTTCCTGTTCTTATCCTCTCACATCATCCCATTGTTTTTCTGTGGTGGTGATGTTATGGAGAGTCAGAGGGGAAATGTGCTTGATTGTTAAAAGTACAGTTCACCCCAAATAAATAAACATTCTGTCATCATTTACTGATCCAAACCTGTTGAGCTTCTTCTGTTCTCACAATAGAAGATAAACTGCGCAGTGTTGGATGGAAGCAGATGTTAAAGAGCCCCTATTATGGGTTTTTAAAAATGAGCTTCTATGCAGCGTGTAACAGCTCTAACCGTGCATTTACATAAATGATTCGTTGTTTAAATGATTTGTTGTTCAAACAAATCGCCCTGCATGCCTTGCTTTTTAACCGCTTTATTAGGTAACAATAAATGCATATAAGACAATAAATGTACATTTTTGGCCTTGCATGCAGATCAGATTATGGAAATTTAAAACACCTTTTTTTTTCCAGATATGATGTAATCTTTGTTCAGAATTTGAGTTGTGCCTATATTGTGCGGTGCATATTTTTATTTATTTTTTGTTCATTTTCATTTCAGAAAAAACTTTATTTTCTGGAAAACAGTGATCGAAAGTAAAGAACAGTAGTGTAGCATGAAGGTAGATTTCAGCTAACCTTAAAGTTCTAGCCGTGAATAATGAATGGGAAGTGAAGATATCTACAGAATCTCCAATATGCTTTAAAACGGCACTTCCACATTTGTTACGGGAACAACAAACACATTCAGTACAATACAAACAAAACTACATCTAATTGTATTATTTTGCTGGGAAGTTTGAGGTTTTGACTTTTCACCTGATTTATTCATTGTCTTGTCGGCTTAGTCCCTTTATTAATCCGTGGTCGCCACAGCGGAATGAACCACCAACTTATCCAGCAAGTTTTTACGCAGCGGATGCCCTTCCAGCTGCAACCCATATCTGGGAAACATCCACACACACACATACACTACGGACAATTTAGCCTACCCAATTCCCCTGTACCGCATGTCTTTGGACTGTGGGGGAAACCGGAGCACCCGGAGGAAACCCATGCGAATGCAGGGAGAACATGCAAACTCCACACACAAACACCAACTAAGCCGAGGCTCAAACCAGCAACCTTCTTGCTGTGAGGCGACAGCACCACCTACTGCGCCACTGCCTCGCCTCATCTGATTCTGTTTTCAGAAATATAAATCTTGAGCTATATCATTATTGTTTTGTCCTGAAAAGTTTGGCCTCAAAAATAACACATTTTGCTAATGCAAAAAAGTAATAAAAATCAAGCTTTATTTATCAAAAATAGCAATGGCACAAATAAACAGCTGTGTGACGTCCGGCTTCATGCACTCATCCATTCATTCCTTCATTGTGTGAAAAGTTCTTCATAGATCAACCATAAAACACAGAAATGGGTGGAGATTCTCGTCCACATTGAATGTTTTCTACATGATGACTCCTCAGCAGAACTGCAGCTCGTTCTCCAGTTTGCAGATTTTGGTCTTCAGGTTCTTCAGCTGATCCTGAACCTTCTCTGTGCGTCTGTTGGTCTGTCGAACCTCACGGAGGATGGCCAGGTCTTGCTTTGGGCTCCCACCGAGCGTCAGCTGGAGAAACACAGCCAGCAAAATCAGCATCAGGTTATTAAAGGTGATTTTTGAAAGACACTTTTGACCATGATGTTTGACGATGTCCAAACCGCAGAGCCAATCAGCATTAAATTAAGGGGGCGTGTCTAAATACAATAGCGGAGATATACATAAAGGTTGCAGTCCTGTGGGGTTACAGCATGTTTGTTTTGGTGCTTTCAAATATTTGTATCTCTTGTCAACATTAGTACACATTTATGATTAAACTATATATAAACAGTTATTGTTTATAATGACAGCAGAGGATTTAGCAGAAATAAAAACATACTGGCATGCCATTTTTAAATGCTTTTTAAAGGAACAGTCCTCTTTTTTGGAAACGGGTTCATTTTCTGGAGTTAAGCAGTTGAGTTTTACCATTTCTGAATCCATTCGGTCAATCTCTGGACTGTCGAGAGCACTATTAGCTTAGCTTAGCATAAATCATTGAATTGTATTAGACCGTTAGCATCTCACTCAAAACAAAATGCACTATTATCAGACACTACGTATTAATATTGCTCCTACTGCAGCCATGGATAATTGAGCAGCAAATTCCCTTGACTATTAGACAGGAATGAGAGTATAGTTATAGGCTAGGCACTATACTCTCATTCCAGCGTAATGATCAAGAGAATTTGCTGCTGAATTTTTCATGGCGGCAGTAGGAGTGACGATAATGCACAGCACCTGATAATTATGCACTTTTTTGAGCTAGATGCTAATGGTCTAATCCAATTTAATGGTCTATGCTAGGCTAAACCTTGCCTAGCCTATCAGCGTAGAAAAATAACATCTTTTCATCCTTCATCAGTACACAATGTACCAAAGCGTCAAACTTTAAAAGAACAAAACTATTTTAACATTTTTTCAAGTGAGATGGTAATGACCTAATCCAAGTCAATGATTATGCTAAGCTAAACCTAGCCTAGCCTATCAGTGTAGAAAAATAGCATATTTTCATCCTCCATCAGTTTTAGTACACAATGTAACTACAGAAGCGTCAAACTTTAAATGAACAAAACTATTTTAACATTTTTCAAGCGAGATGCTAATGGTCTAATCTGATTCAATGATCTTTGCTAGACTAAGCTAATCCTAGCCTAGCCTATCAGCATAGAAAAATCTTAACATCCTTCATCAGTCTTAGTACACAATGTAACTACAGAAGCATCAAGCTTTACACGAACAAAACTATTTTAACATTTTTAAAGCGAGATGCTAACGGTCTAATCTGATTCAATAATCTGTGCTAAGCTAAACCAAGCCTATCAGCCGGAGGAAAAAAAAATCTTTATCCTCCATTAGTCTTAGTACACAACTTAACTACAGAAGCGTCAAACTTTAAACAAACAAAACTATTTTAACTTTTTTAAGCAAGATGCTAATGGTCTAATCCGATTCATAATCTATGCTAAGCAAAGTTAAACATAGCCTAGCAGCGTAGAAAAAAAACAACTTTTCATCCTTCATCAGTCTTAGTACACAATGTAACTACAGAAGCGTCAAACTTTAAAACAACAAAACTAAGGTTAAAAATAAGGTTCATTAGTTAATGTTAATTAATGCATTTACTAACATGAACAACACATTTACTACTGTATTTGTTCATGCGAGTTAACGTTAGTTCATGAAAATACAGTAGTTCATTGTTAGTGCATGTTAACTCATGGTGGATTAAGTAATGTTAACAAGCATGGATTTGGATGTTAATAATGCATTAGTAAATGTTCAGTTATGATTAATAAATGCTGTACAAGTGTTGCTCATGATTAGTTCATGTTAGTAAATGCATTAACTGATGAACCTTATTGTAAAGTGTTACCAACTATTTTAACATTTTTCAAGCGAGATGCTAATGGTCTAATCTGATTCAATAATCTATGCTAAGACAAGCTAATCCTAGCCTAGCCTATCAGCGTAGAAAAAAATTATCTTTACATCCTTCATCAGTCTTAGTACACAATGTAACTACAGAAGTGTCAAGCGTTAAACAAACAAAACTATTTTAACCTTTTTAAGTGAGATGCTAATGGTCTAATGTGATTCAATAATCTATGCTAAGCTAAGCTAAAAGTGCTCCCGCCAGACCTGGAAATTGAATTAAAAAATGGTAAAAGTCAACTGTTAATCGGTTAACTAGTGAAGTGTTCCTATCAGAGTCAATATAAATATATTTCTTCAGAAGAGACGAAAGGGAGACTCGACTGACTTTGAAGAGAATTTTCTCCACATCTTTGACTTTCTGCCGCAGGAGTCTGATATCGGTCTTGAATCCCTCGACCTCCATCACTCGTCGTTTCTCCAGAGCTTCGTAACGTCGAGTCATGAGCTGAAGACGTTTGGCCATCTTATCCGAGCGCTCCTGAAAACCCAATCAAAGACACTTCAATAACTTCATTCCTTCATTTTCCTTCAGCTTAGTCCTTTCATTCATCTGTGGTCACCACAGCGGAATGAACCACCAACTTATCCAGCATATGTTTTACACAGTGGATGCCTTTCCAGCTGCAACCCAGTACTGGGAAACACCCATACACACTCATTTACACTTATACACTACAGCCAATTTAGTTTTTTCCATTCCCCTATAGCGCATGTGTTTGGACTGTGGAGGAAACAGGAGAAAACCCACGCCAACACGGGGAGAACATGCAAACTGCACACCGAAATGCCGAAACTGGCCTAGCTGTAACTTAAACCAGCGACCTACTTGCTGTGAGGTGACAGTGCTAACCACTGAGTATGAATTCAAATAATAGGTGGCTGAAAAGGGAGTTACTTTAAAGATCTCTCGGCCCACGTCACCCTCCTCTCTGATCTGGGACAGCTCCGTCTCCAGACTCACACACTGATCTCGGTACATATCGGCCAGTTTGTGAGCCTGTTTCAGCTCCTCCTGCAAAGCCTGAAATATAAAGGACAAAAGCACATTTGTACACATCTCATATATACACAGAGATTCTGTACATGTGTAAAGTTATGGAACAAAACTTTTAGTATAATTTTAATATTAATATTATTATAAATTAAATAAAAAAGCTTTAATGAAGTCACTTCTAGATTTCAAATAAAAACATTGACATTTACTGTTTATTCTTTTCAGAAACGTTGAACGATTTAATAACTTTTCTTGAAAAAAATTAAATAAATAAATAAAGAAAATCTCAAAAAAATAATGAAAGTCTTGAAAATAGCAACTTAAGTTATTTGTATATCTCACAAATACTGCTTTTATTTTATTAGAAGGAAAGGAGATATTTAGCCTGATGTTTATGCTGCTCTATTTTAAAATAAATATGTCAAATATAATATGTAAGGAATAATTGATGATGGCAGTTTAATTATTGATAATGCTACCGTTCCCGCAGCTAAAGTCACTAGAATTATTAGGTATGGGTTTGAGTATTACAATAATATTGATTTCATTAAAATAAAGATTTGATGAAAATGATTCTAGATTTCAAATGTTTTTTTTGTTGTTATTTTGCAGATATTGACAATTTAGAATAAAAAGGTTTATTGATTTCTTAACTTAAAAAAATATAAATAAAATAGTCAAACTGATTATAGACTTGTTTATTTTATATATATTTACACACACACATGGAGTCCATTTGCAGGAACTAATAATGTTATTATTATTATTATTATTATTATTATGTCAAATAAAATATGCAATGAATAATTGATAATAGCTTCTCCTGGACCTAAGGAGCAGTGATAGTCTTCAAACCTTTAAATCTTGTCTAAAGACCCAACTTTTTAAGCAGACTTTCTTTTGACTATCTTTCACCATGTTATTTTATACTAACGATGTGTTTGTACCTCTTTACATGAATTTTAAAATAGTTTAGTTTCGGCAACGTTTTATTAATTGTTTTAATTTGTTCTGGTATGGCGGTTGATGCTTCTTGTAAGGGCGACCTTGGGTGTCCAGAAAGGCGCCATTTACAAATAAAATGAATCATTATTATTATTATTATTTTATTATTATTATTATTATTATAGCATTTTAATTATTAAAGGTTTCAAACAAACTTTCTAGTTAAAATTTGTTTTACTTAAACGCTCTATTAACTTTTTATTTTTAGGAAATAATATTTTTCTTTGTAAAAAAAACTCTTAAAAAAATAGAAACCTTATAAAAATGATTTATAAAAATAAAAAATTTAGTTAATACACTTTTTTTTTAGTTTAATGACGACTTGTTTAATTCCTAACCTATGTATGTTTTTAAAACCAGTTTTTTTCCTCACACATTATAAATGAGTGATTATAACGACTCATATAAAGTGGAATTATTGGTCCTCTTGAATTATTCACCCTCCTGTATTTTTTTCCCCAATTTCTGTTTAACGTAGAGCAGATTTGTTCAGCACATTTCTAATCATAATAGTTTTAATAACTCATCTCTAATAACTGATTTATTTTCTCTTTGTCATGATGACAGTAAATAATATTAGACTAGATATTCTCCAAGACACTTCTATACAGCTTAAAGTGACATTTAAAAGCTTAACTAGGGTAATTAGGCAAGTCATTGTATAACAGTGGTTTGTTCTGAAGACAGTCGGAAACAAATATTGCTTAAGGGGGCTAATAATATTGACCTTAAAATGCTTTTAAAACAATTAAAAGCTGCTTTTATTCTAGCCGAAATAAAACAAATAAGACTTTCTCCAGAAGAAAAAATATTATAAGAAATGTTGTGAAAATTTCCTGAATCTGTTCATCATCATTTGGGAAATATTTAAAGACTGAAATTCACAGGAGGGCGGATAATTCTCCCTTTGACTGTATATATCCTTTATATTTGACGCTGTGGTCTTTGTGTTCTGTAACAGCTTGAGTGTAGCGCATTAATGAGTCTGTCTGACCCTGATGTGCTGTCGGTGTGTGGCTCCGCTGTCTGCTGGACTCTGCTGGATGATCTGGAGCTCTGCTGACGGCGCTCTCTCCTCTCGCTCCTCGCTGCAGTCCAGCCGCCGCAGCAGACGCTCCTTCTCCATCATCCAGCTCTTCTCCTGCGCGCGACTCTCAAACTTCAGCTGCAGGAAGTCTCTGGTGCTCTCCATCAGCAGGCTCTGTGTGCGCTGCAGTCTGAACCACAGAGAGAAGAGCGTTTAGTGGAACTAGTATTGCCAAACTGTTGTATACTTTGAGACATGTCGATACTTAAATATTGGAAATGATACACTCGAGTGATTCAGTGCATATTGTTAAGGTAAAGTAATTAAGTGAGATTCCATCTGCAGCAGTAGAGGTGAACACACTTGTCTGTGAGGGCTGTGATTCTGTCAGAGTCTCTCTGCTGCTGAATCTGTCTCTCCTCCAGGTGAATGCGTCGCTCCTCCATCAGCGCCTCCACCTGCTCTTTAGCCAGACGAGCCTGTTCCTCCATCTGAGCCTGCAGAGCCTCCACCTGCACTCACACCACAGCAGCAAACGTGCGGGGGGGAAAGGGAGGTTTTAGACATCAAAATGACTCAAGATTTGTTTTTGTATATAAGAATGAATCCTTTAGTGGCTGTTATGCTTTTTAATAGGACAGTGAATTTAAAAATATATACATTTACTCATCATTCATGTAGTTTTAGACCTTTATGAGTACTAAAAACAAAAGAAGATAGTTTGAAGAATGTTGGAAACCTGTAACCACTGACTTTCATAATAGGAACTAAAAATACGTTTTTTGTCCAGCATTCTTCAGATAACCTCCACTTGTGTTCAACAGAAGACAGAAAGTCAAACAGGTTTGAAACAGAGTAAATAATGACAGAATTTTCATTTTTTGGGTGAACTGTCCCTTTAACCTGATTTACAGTACACCAAAAAAAGTAATTAAGTGTGAAAAAGTTAGAAAAATAAATTTTCTCATCATTCGTATGGATTTAACCCTTTGAGTTTCTTTTTTTTTCTACTAAAAAACAAAAGAAGATATTTTGAAGAATGTTAAAAGAATTCTTCAAGACACTTCTATACAGCTTAAAGTGACATTTAAAGACTTAATTATGGTAATTAGGCAAGTCATTGTATAACAGTGGTTTGTTCTGAAGACAGTCGGAAACAAATATTGCTTAAGGGGGCTGATAATATTGACCTTTAAATGGTTTTACAAGAATTAAAAGCTGCTTTTATTCTAGTGGAAATAAAGCAAATAAGACTTTCTCCAGAAGAAAAAAATATTATAGGAAATGCTGTGAAAATTTCCTGAATCTGTTCAACATCATACGAGTAAATAATGACAGAATTTTCATTGTTTAGGTGAACTGTCCCTTTAACATGATTTACAGAAAACCAAAAAAAGTAATTAAGTGTGAAAAAATTAGAAAAAATTCATTCTCATAATTTGTATGGTTTTAAACCTTTATGAGTTTCTTTTTTTCCATTAAAAACAAAAGAAGATATTTTGAAGAATGTTGGCAAACTATAACTATTGACTTAATAATAATAGGAACAAAAATCTAATTAAAGTAAATGACTGTTTTTTTGTCCAGCATTCTTCAGAATATCTTCCTTTGTGTTCAACAGAAGAAAGAAACTCAAACAGGTTTAAACCAAACGGAGGACGAGTAAATAATTACAGGATTTTCATTTTTGGATAAACTGTCCCTTTAACATCATTTACAGAAATCTAAAAATAATATAACTAGGTGTGAAAAAAAAGGGGGGGAAATACATTTATTCATCATTCATGTGGTTTAATACTTTATGAGTTTCTTTTTTTCTATTAAAAACAATAGAAGATATTTTGAAGAATGTTGAAAACCTGTAACCATTGACTTTTAAAATAGAAATTTAAAAAATCCATTGAAAGTCAATGGCTGTTTTTTGTCCAGCATTCTTCAGAATATCTTTCTTTGTTCAAAAGAAAAAAAAAATACTTTTACTCATCATTCATGTGGTTTTAAACATTTATGACTTTCTTTTTTCTACTAAAAAACTATAGAAGATATTTTGAAGAATGTTGGAAACCTGTAACCACTGACTTAATAATAATAGGAACAAAAATCCAATGCAAGTCAATGGCTGCTTTTGTCCAGCATTCTTCAGAATATCTTCATTTGTGTTTGACAGAAGAAACTCAAACAAGCTTGAAACGAGTAAATAACGGCAGAATTTTCATTTTTGGGTGAACTGTCCCTTTGACACGACTTACAGAAAACCAACAATGTGATTAAATTGTTCATATATCAAAGTCATGTGTTTTTTCATACATGATAAGAGGCCTTAAACACGTTTAAAACTCGTTTATATTCACTAAAACACACACACCTGTAGCAGTAATGTCTGGTTGTCTCTCTTCTGCTGCTCTGCATCTGTGCTGTTTTCTCCATGTTTGGAGGATTTCTTGTTTCCTGTCATCACATTATATATGAACTCAAGCGTTTATTCTATTACACAGACAAGACGACTGGTCATCTCAAAAATAGATGAAGGATAAAAAGTAAGTACTGCAATTTAGTCAGTCTTTAGTTTTTGAAACTAAACATTAAATCATTTCAATCAAACCTTTAGCAGACACAGGCCTGGGTTTCACCATCTTCAGTTCCTCATGTGATCTCGGCTGGATCTTCTTCTGAGGAACTGTGACCTAAATAAAAACCATTATGATAGAAAGAAACTGAATAAAGTCTAAACTAGAGTACGAGATATTTACTGCCTATGATAATACTGTAAATGTATAATATAAAGAAGAATACGGCCTGAAAGTTTAAAATAATAATTATAATTCCAGAATCAAACAAAAAGTGCTTCAGGTCATGAGTCCAAGGCACTCGAAAAGTGGAGAAATATTTTTTGTACATTATTACTATTACTATTATTATTAGAATTAACCTAAAATTCAAGATACAAATGCAAAAAAACTGTTGTATCTAGCATAGGTTTGTGCTTTTTTTCGTTTAGTTTTTTTACATGAATAAGATATAAAAATAATCTCTACAAATAAATCCACAAAATCAACATATATATTTACATTTAGTCATTTAGCAGAAGCTTTTATCCAAAGCGACTTACAAATGAGGAAAAGGAAGCAATTTACACAACTATAAGAGCAACATTGAATAAGTGCTGTAGGCAAGTTTCAGGTGTGTAAAGTGTAAGAAGCAAAACATTAGTAATTTTTTTTTTGTAATGCAGTTAGTGGTGGAGTCAGAGAGGCAATTGCAGATTAGGAAGAAAAGTGGAGACTAAATAGTTTTTAGTGGTTTCTTGAAGACAGCGAGTGACTCTGCCGTTCTGATGCAGTTAGGGAGTTCATTCCACCAACTGGGCAGATTGAATGCGAGAGTTCGGGAAAGTGTTTTCTTCCCTCTTTGGGAAGGAACCACGAGGCGACGTTCATTCACAGAATGCAAGTTTCTGGAGGGCCTATAAATCTGCAGAAGTGAGAGCAGATAAGAAGGAGCAAAGCCAGAAGTCGCTTTGTAAGCAAACATCAGAGCTTTGAGTTTGATGCAAGCAGTAACTGGCAGCCAGTGCAAATGGATTAGCAGCGGAGTGACATGTGCTCTTTTAGGTTCATTAAAGACCACTCGTGCTGCTGCGTTCTGAAGCAGCTGAAGAGGTTTGATAGAGTTAGCTGGGAGCCCGGATAGTAGAGTATATACAAATATACTAGTATATACACACACATATATATATATATATATATATATATATATATATATATATATATATATATATATATATATATATATATATAAATATATATATATATATATATAAATATATATATATATATACACACATACACACACACATATAATATATGTATGTATATATATATATATATATATATATATATATATATATATATATTATATATTATTATATACATTTATTCCAGCCAAACTAAAAGTCTTCCTCTTAAGAAAGAAAAAATAATAGGAAAGAAAACTTTAATAGGACATATTGTGAAAAAATTCCATGCTCTATTAAAATATCACTTGTGAAATGTTTGAAAAATATAAACATTTCCAGGGAAGGTTAATATATTTGTTTTCAACTGTGCATACACACAAACACTAAGCATATATACACTTTATTAATGGCCATAATATATGGAAATGAGAAATCTCTTAACCTTGTGTGGAGGCTCGCGGTGGAAGTATGTGATCTCTCCTGGATCTGGTCCCACCAGCGCTAACAGATGCTGGATCTTCTTGCGGTCCTCCAGCTCTCTGCAAGAGTAATGCACTGTGGTGATGTTTGATGATATAGTTTATATATATATATATATATATATATATATATATATATATATGTTTATGTACAGTTGAAGTTATATACAGTTTAATTATTACCCCCTTTGAATTATTAGCCCCCCTGTTTATTTTTTCCCCCAATTTCTGTTTAACAGAGAGCGGATTTTTTTCAACACATTTCTAATCATAATAGTTTTAATAACTCATCTCTAATAACTGATTTATTTTATCTTTGTCATGATGACAGTAAATAATATTTTACTAGATATTCTTCAAGACACTTCTATACAGCTTAAAGTGACATTTAAAGGCTTAACTAGGTTAATTAGGTTAACTAGGCAGGTTAGGGTAATTAGGCAAGTTATTGTATAATGATGGCTTGTTCTATAGAATATTGAAAAAATATATAGCTTAAAGGGGCTAAAAATATTGACCTTAAAATGTGTTTTAAAAAATTAAGAACTGCTTTTATTCTAGCTGAAATAAAACAAATAAGACTTTCTCCAGAAGAAAAAATATTATCAGACATACTGTGAACATTTCCTTGCTCTTTGCTTGTTAAATATAATTTGGGAAATATTTAAAAAAGGAAAAAATTCGAAGGGGGGGCTAATAATTCTGACTTCAACCGTATATATATGAAATAATCTCTACACATATATCTACAAAATCATCCACATTTTTTTTCATATTTTTTTTTATTCCAGCGAAACTAAAAGTCTTCCTCTTAAGAAAGAAAATATAATAAATAAATATATATTTATATCTGACCTGATCTTGAGCCGGTCGTTCTCTGCATAGAGTCTGAGCGCCTGCTCCCTCTCCTGGAACAGGTAAATCTGCATGTCGCTGAGAGCGTTTTGGAGCTCCGCGATCTCCTCCTCACGCTGGCGAATCTCCCACTGCAACTTGTGCTGCACAAAACAATAGAGATGTCAAAATACTGGAATCACCCGCTTCAAAACAACACCTTAAAGGGCACCTTTGATGCAAAATCTACTTTCGGAAGCTTTTTAGACAGAACGGTGTGCAGGTATAGTGTGTCCCCAGTCATATTGGAGTGACAGAAACACAATAAGTCTCTTTTTTTATTTCATGATGTTAAAATAGGATCCGGCAACGCAGTGGCACAGTAGGTAGTGCTGTCACCTGACAGCAAGAAGGTGGCTAATTCGAGCCTCAGCTGGGTCAGTTGGCGTTTCTGTGTGGAGTTTGCATGTTCTCCCTGCATTCGCCTGGGTTTTCTCTGGGTGCTCCGGTTTCCCCCACAGTCCAAAGACATGCGGTACAGGTGAATTGGGTAGGCTAAATTGTCCGCAGTGTATGTGTGTGGATGTTTCCCAGAGATGGGTTGTGGCTGGAAGGGCATCCGTTGCGTAAAAACTTGCTGGATAAGTTGGCGGTTCATTCCGCTGTGGCAACCCCAGATTAATAAAGGGGCTAAGCCGACAAGAAAATGAATGAATGAAAAATAGGATCCGATCCCAGTGATTTTGAAGCCCACCGCAACATAAAATTGGAGCGTGGATTTCCCCGCCGACCAAATTAAGTGACATCTGCGTATAAACATGTCTCCATAGTAACGCATATAAACATTTCCACAAGACAGGAGTTGCAAAGAAAGGAGTTGACATGAGCCCAAAGCTAAACCCAGAGCTGAAAATAAACACCAACGGCGGGAGACGAGACGAGACGAGAGAGGAAAACAGCCAATAGAGTCAGAATAACTGCTGAGGTTTTTAATCCTTCATAGTACTTTAAAGACTAAATGTTTGCAGCTTGACACAGATTTTTAGATTTTATATTGAATTAGATCTGAAGAATATATTTTACCTGTTTATATTAACATCATTAAATAAATAAATAAATAAATAAATAAATAAAAACAGCTACTAACAAATAAGCATTTTACTAGGGAAATCGCTATTGCTGTACTTAACAACAATATGGCATATTTTTCCAGTATTGTGTAGCCCTAATCTGCACATATCAAAACATAGATACTCTCAACACTAGTAAACGGAGCGCAGTAAACACAGGTGTAAAGTCTGCTGTCAGTGTCTGACCTGCTCCTCAGTGCTGCTCCTGTGCTCCTCCAGCTTCTGCAGCAGCTCCTCGTGTTCTCCATCAAATTGAGACACTTTCTGCCTGTAGAAGTCCAGCAGCTCACGGGACGGACGGAGATACGCCAGACGCTCCGAGATGGAGGGCAGCGGGGAGTCAGGAGAGGGACTGACAGAAACAGACAGACAGACAGACAGAGAGACAGACACATACACACATAGATGTCAGTGCTTCAGTGGTTTTCTTGAGTCATAACTGCTTTTATTTTATTTGTAATTAATATAACAACACTAATAACATAATATTAGCCGACTGATAAAATTGTATTTATTGTGTCATTGCCAAAATGGCAAAAATAAAAAGTTAGCTAATTTATGACCTATAAAACTAAAATTTATTTAAATTTATTCACACACACATATATATATATATATATATATATATATATATATATATATATATATATATATATATATATATATATATATATATATATACACATACATACATACATACCATGGTAATGACACTAAAATTACACTTTATTTATATTTATAATACATAAAATGTTATTTTATAGGTCATAAATGAGCTAATTTATTTTTGGCATTTTTTAAAATGTAATGCAAAAAAAACATTCTCAGATGTCTATAAAAAAATCAATGTTTGATCTATAAAAAGCTATCTAATACATATTGTATGATAAATGTTTAGGTTTCATTATATGCATACAATTGATTAATAGAATACATTTTTTTTTTACAAAATTAATATATTACTACTTTTTGGAAAATGTGTATTTATATTATTTTGGATATTTTATTTCCACTCATAGAGTAAGTACCATAATGTTGAAAACATCTTAAATGTATGATCTTAAAACACTGTTATTTGAGTCTTTCTGCATTTAATAATTTATTAAGACACTTGAAAATGTAAGAAGAATAAAGCTTATTATGGCTATGAGAATGTGAGGGGTAAGGATGTGGAAATTATGAAAATAAGTCTTAATGGTCCTAAAAAATAAGTATCTTCGTGTAAAAACAAAACAATGATAACAACAATGATAACAATAATACAATATTAAATTAAATATTATAATAATGTAATAAAAAATAACCACAAATAATAAAGAAACGCTTGTATATAATAAGAAAAGAAGGTACCTTTTATGGTCTTTCGTAGGAGGAGAATCCATTATCACAGAGTATACTGCTTAAAACAAGCAAAATATTAAAGATTAAATGACTCAATATTAAAAAAAATGTTTACAATTAAAATATTACATATGAAAGACATATTAAACGAGTTATTGTGATGAGCATTCAGCTAACTTAAGTTAAAAAACAATCCCCCATAGACAAACAGGAGCCGTTATGGTTGTCAAGTAAACACTGACGCTTTGCGGTTGGAAAGATAAACGGGTTTGTTCTATTTTAAGCGTTAAAAACTGTTTAAAAGTAGAAATAAGTGTCTAGACTGTCACTTTAATTATTAATCAACCTGTCAGATCTGCACAATTGTTGTTGACAAAATAAACAAAAGACAACAACGGTGTTAGCTGTCAAACTAGTAGCATTACTTGTATTATATAACGTTACCTTATGTGCACCTTGTTAAATCAGTATAATACTAATATTGTCTCGGTTTCTCAAACGTCCACACAGTAGTTATTACTTTATGTTTGTGTTCAGCTGGATCATCTCGCATTTAAAAAACACGCCGGTTACAAACCGGAAGTCGCTTTGTTATATCAAGCGCATCCTGACTGCGTCGTCTGCGCAACAACAGCGCAGACTGGCGTCACACTCCACTCCAGCACCAGCAGGCGCCTGTCATTTCTGCGCTCTTACCTGCTGACACACACACGCACACACACACACACACACAGTGATTGATTTAGATAAGAGACATTAGAGACATGAAAAACATGTTTGGCAGCTGCTGATAGCCTGTGAGCTAATGGTTTGCGGGACAGGAGGAGTCATGCTCGGGTCAAAGTAGAAACGCCGTTTTGTGTTTCATTTATTTGGAAGGAAAGCATGGCACAGATGTTTTCCCGCTTGAACATGTTGGGAATCGGGTGGAGAGGCGTCAGATTCAGCAGGAAAGTCACTAATGCAGCTGTTTCTGCGCAGACGCAGCGCCGCTACAGCACAGTGAGTTCACGCGCTGGATTATTAATGATATTCATAATTTAACGATCAATAATAACCACCATGAGTCAGCTAGTACACCAAAAAGAGTGGAGTTACTATCTAAACACGGTTGTGTTGATGTTTTGTTGCTATGGGTTTCGCGTCGGTATCTGGTTGTGTTTCAAACATGTAGCGAGCTGCCTATCTAGTCAGCATTTTCTGTCCATTATAAACAGTGTATATTTACATGAGTTATACATGTGATGGATGTAAAATATTGTTATAATGTCATTCTAACACACGGTGTTTAACATTTAGCACATGAATGAAGCTTCAGTTGATCTACACGAACTTTCACCTGAATTTCTTTACTGTGAAATGTTTCCCCTAAATAGCACAGCAACAGTGAAGGGATGTGCTAATGGTTTCAGTTTCCTTTTGCAGGAAATGTGAAACACGGTCTGGGTGTTCGGGAGTCATTAGGGGGTGCTGTGGCATACTGGTTTAGTTTGGGTTTGAATTCCATCTGACATTTTAAAGTTCTTGGTTCAAGTCCCCTCAACATTCAGGATTCTATCTTTTATTACTCATTCATTCATTTACTTTTCGGCTAGTCCCTTTATTAATCAGGGAACTCCACACAGAAATGCCAACTGACCCAGCCGAGACTCGAACCAGTGACCTTCTTGCTGTGAGGCGACAGCGCTACCCACTGCGCCACCGCACCGCCCATCTATGTTTTACAATTACACATACTGTTACTATATAATCATGTTGTATATATTCGGACACTCAGACGTTAACATTTAGCAAGTTGAAGGTTGTTGGTTCAAAGCCTCACATGGACAAATCTGAGGATTTTAACATTGATTACTATTTTCACTATTATAACTACTGTTATATAACATTGGCAACACGGTGGCTCAGTGGTTAGCACTGTCGCCTCACAGCAAAAAGGTTGCTGGTTCGAGTCCCGGCTGGGCCACTTGGCATTTCTGTGTGGAGTTTACATGTTCTCCCCATGTTGGTGTGGGTTTCCTCTGGGTGCTCCACAGTCCAAACACATGCACTAGAGGTGAATTGGTTGAACTAAATTGACCGTAATTTGTGAGTGTGCATGGGTATTTCCCAGTACTGGGTTACAGCTGGAAGACCATCCGCTGTGTAAAAACATATGCTGGATAAGTTGGCGGTTCATTCTGCTGTGGTGACCCCTGATGAATAAAGACACTAAGCTGAAAGAAAATGAACGAACAAATTATATTACAGTTATAAATTATTATAGAAATTAGAACCAGCAGGTTGTTGGTTCAAATCCCCACCTACACAAAATTCTGCTATTGCTTACTATTACATATAATATTATAATTTTTTTTTTTTTAAATCATGTAATGCATTATTCTGACACAGCCTTTTACGTTTAGCACTTTGAAGGTTTTTGGTTCAAGTCCCCAATAAAACTATGACCATTTTGATCTTAAATACTATTTTTATTATTATAACTACTACTATTACTATTATATAATAGTTATTAACGTTTTTAAAACTGTTACACACTATTTTGACTCACAGCCTTTAGCAATGTGAAGGTTGTTGGTTCAAATCCCCAGCAAGATTTGCTTATTATATATATATATATATATATATATATATATATATATATATATATATATATATATATATATATATATATATATATATACACTATTGTTTTATATTAGCTATCAGTAATTATAAGAAAATGTTATACATCATTCTGACACACAGCCTTTACCATTTAACTTGAAAGTTGTAGGTTCAAATCCCCAGCAAAGTTTATTTATTACAATGTAATATTATTATATGTTAGATATCAATATTTATAAGAAAATGTTACATTATTCTGACACACAGCACTTAATGTTTAGCAACTTTAAGTTTGTTGGTTCAAATCCCCACCACGATTGGTCTAAAGAAAACATTATACATTAATCAGAAACACAGCACCTAATGTTTAGTAACTTGAAGGTTGTTGGTTCAAATCCCCGATTCCCCACCACGATTGGTGAATTACATACTATTTTTATATAATGGTTATCAATAATTCTAAGAAAATGGTACATATTAACGAGACACACAGAACTTAATGGTAAGCAACTTGAAGGATGTTGGTTCGAATTCCCATCAAGATTGGTCCATCACATCCTATTTTAAATAATAGTTATCAATAATTATAAGAAAATGTTATACATTAATCAGACACACAGCACTTATCGCTTAAATCTTGAAGGCTTTTGGTTCAAATCTCCAAAAAACGCAAGTTTGGCCACTTTTGACATCTTTTATACTAACTTCTTGTTTTGAGGATGTGGATGAGCAGAACCGCCACTTGTTTGGCCTTCTGTTTGACATTGACGGAGTGCTGGTGCGAGGACGGACACCAATCCCGGCTGCTAAACAGTGTTTTAGGAACCTGGTGGATGGCGATGGGAAATACAAGGTTCCTGTGGTGTTTGTGACGAATGCAGGCAATGCTCTCCGTCAGACCAAAGCCGAGCAGCTGTCCCACCTTCTGGAGGTTGAGGTAAGACGTCTGACGATTAGATATTTACATCTCCAGGCTCCTGCTTTTGCATTGTTTAGCATGTGCCCTTATACCGGCCCATGCCTAATTGTGGCTAGTTTCTAGACATCAGTTGGTTTGTTGACATGTCTGAGAGTAAGACGGGACGGTTTCATTGCTTCAAACAGGTGTCGCCGGAGCAGGTGGTGCTGTCCCATAGTCCTCTGCGGGTTTTCACTCAGTTCCATGACATGTGTGTTCTGGTGTCCGGACAGGGACCTGTGGTGGAAGTTGCACACAAGTATCCTTTACCTTGATTTAAATGACTTTAAAAACTAATATTATTCATTATGAACTATTTAAAGTTATAAAATGTTTAAAAAATAACTAAAAATCCTAATATATATCTATCTATCTATCTATCTATCTATCTATCTATCTATCTATCTATCTATATATATATATATATATATATATATATATATGAGCAATTCCATGCAAATGTCAACCTTGCCATGAAAAAAATTAAGTTTTCACCAAAATAAACCGTTTCAACATTTTTGTGTAAACAAGTATTTTGCAGTACTTTTTAAAATACTTATAAATGTCTCTGTCAGTGTTTCAAACTATTATATTTAATTTGCCAAAATCACATGCCAAAATCACACAAGTGACAATTTCACATCTGTCACGTCCATAACGGAAAAGTGTCACATCCGTAATGACACTTTTTCCTCATAAATGCAAAAATGTCAAATAAAATAAAATGAATCAGTTTTTTTCTATAGTGAGCCAACTCTTATCTGTTTGATTACCATTATTTCTTTTGGGTTGTGCAGTTTAATTTACAGAATTTCTACAAAGTATGCTGTAAACTGGCAAACTTTTTTTGTCACATCCATAACGCATGTTTATTTTCCCTGATTTAAAGTATAAAAATTTTTTCAGATTGATATTTTTCTGATCCCATAATTTTGCGGTTAGTTGTTTTGGAAAATATAAACAGATGTGTCAATATAATGGTAACATATACTTTCTATGTGAATTTATGCTTTGAGTTTTACTGCAAATGTCACATCCATAACACTGGAATCAGCCATTTATATATATATATATATATATATATATATATCTTTTTATATATATAGTTATCTTTTAAAAACAAATTCCCAATAGCTTAACAGAGCAAGGGGATTTTTACAGTATTTCCTATAATATCTTTTATCTTATTTATTAAAGTAAGTTTGGCTTTCTTTGTTTTTCTATCTATTAACTATATAAGTAGCCTTATCTTATTAATTAAATAACTATATTATTTAATTATTGTAAAAAATTTGTTATTGCTTTTTAAAATTGTTGATAAAAAAGCATCTCTCCATTATAAAATTAATTAAACCTTTTTTTAGGGGAAATAAGTTCAACTGAATGTATAATACAAGATACGAACAATGTTTATCGTATCATAATTATAATTAATTTTATTTTTATTTTATGTACTAAAATATTTACAGTTGAAGTCAGAATTATTAGCCCCCCTGAATTATTACACCGCTTGTTTATTTTTTCCCCAGTTTCTGTTTAACAGAGAGCACATGTTTTCAATTAATTTCTAAATATAATAGTTTTAATAACTCATCTCTAATTTATTTTATCTTTGCCATGATGACAGTAAATAAGATATTCTTCAAGACACTTCTATACAGCTTAAAGTGACATTTAAAGGCTTAGGTTAATTAGGTTAACAGGGCAGATTAGGGTAATTAGGCAAGTTATTGTATAACGATGGTTTGTTCTGTAGACTATCAGGAAAAAAATTAGCTTAAAGGGGCTAATAATTTTGTCTTTAAAATGGTGTTTAAAAAATTAAAAACTGCTTTTATCCTAGCCGAAATAAAACAAATAAGACCTTTTCTGGAAGAAAAAATATTATCAGACATGCTGTGAACATTTCCTTGCTCTGTAAAACATAATTTAGGAAATATTTTAAGAAGAGAGAAAATTCAAAAGGGGCGAATAATTCTGACTTCAACTGTATGTTACTATATACTATGTCAATAAATACTTCTAAAAATATTATTAAACAATTATTATAAACTTGTTTTTATATAATAATGCACACACAATATAAAACAACATATAGAGAGGAGAACAGAAATCTATAATGCCTTTTATGTGTTAATTCTCCTTGACAAAATAAACTCCAGCGTAGGTTTCAAGAACGTGGTGACCATCGACATGCTGAGAGAGGCCTATCCTCTGCTGGACGTGGTGGACCACCATCGCAGACCCAAAGACACAGTGAGTAGAAACAATAATACCTAAATGTATATACAGTTGAAGTCAAAATGATTTGGCCTCCTGTGAACTTTTGTTTTCTTTTTTAAATATTTCCCAAGTGATGTTTAACAGAGCAAGGAATTTTTCACAGTATTTCCTGTAATACTTTTTC